TATTCGTTTGTTCGATAAGCCAGTAAAAACTGTAGACTTCTCTAAATGTATTTTTAATTAATAGATTATCTAACGCACTTAATAAATAAGCAAATTCAATATAATTAACTCCGTTATATTAGATTTAATAGATTCTCTACACCCTCTAAATGCCAATTCCCGCTTCGATAACATCTACTAATTAAAATATAATGTATCTATTAGCCGTAACTATCTCGTTATAATTTTCAATATTTATTTTATATTGTGTACTAATGTTAAATTCTATTCTATTTTGGTTTCCAAATTGCTTCAATTTTATGAAAGATTCGATGCGAGATTTAGGATTTTCGTGTCTTTTGCCAGCTTTACTAAAATTATTTAAATCATCAAAGCCAATCTCATTCCACACGCTAATTTTATTTGAAAATAGTAGGCAAGGCCAACTAAACAATTTTTGCATTTTTATGCATCCACACAGCCATTTTATATCTTCATAAATTTTATCGTGAAAATGTCGAACAAATTTTTTTGTCGACGTATTTATATTTAATTTAGGCATTGCTCTTTCTCTTTTAATGATGTTTTCTTTTTCATTATATGGTCTCGAGCTAAAACTTTTTGAAATAAATTTTCAATATTGCAATTACATTCTAAATTGCTAACCATAATATAAGGGCTAAAATTAAAAATAAAATTATAAAAACTTACTTGGTAAAATAAAATGTTTGATGGATATACAATTATACATACCTGGTACAAAATATTCGATTGTATGAATATAGTTTTGTGAAGAAACGGTACATAAAAATAGTATAAGATATTCTTTACTTTTTAAATATTAAAACAATCTTAAATTAAATTAAATATTAAAACAACTTAGTTAAAAGTGCTCCCTATCAGTGACTCGTGGATGGAATCAGAGACGATCTTAGTAGGTGCGCGGTGCATGCGTGCCTGCCAAATCCTGAGGGTGCCGATACCGGTTAACGTCAAATGAATATGCCTCTTTTGTCGTATCACTAGTATATCGACAGGGTTGTTGTAAATTTTAAATGTTTCTCATCATAGCTGTAAAAATCTAAATACGTTAAACTTAATAGATTGTCCGTCTTTTGTTTTCTAATTAATTTGTTTTAGGACCAGGTGTCATCCACGGAAATTTCCAATTTTTCGGTCACTCTCGTTGAACTGGAAAAATTTCTGTCTTTATTACATCTAATACAGTATTTTGAAGAAATCAGTCCCCGCTGTACTTGGCTATAGATTGGTTTGGTTAAGCTTTTGTTTAAATAATATTCCAGCTCTTTCATCAGGGTTTTGTTTATGCCCCCCAATTCCCTAATCGCTTAATTATTTAACTACTTCTTAAGTAGAAATACAGTCGACCCCCTATAACACTGTTGATTTTTCCGTTTTATATGAATTCCGTGTTGTACGAGTAACTTAGATTTTACAAATACATGTGCCAGGCTGTGAACAGCTCACGTATTTGTAAAATCTAAGTGACTCGTACAACATGGAATTCATATAAAATGGAAAAATCAACAGTATTATAGGGGGGTCGACTGTAGTGTAAGTCGAAACCGGTTACTTTGTACTCGAATATTTGTAGTCTCGGGAAAAAGTGGAAAGACAAATTTTTATGACAACGGATACATAAATTGTAAATTTAAGGAAAATAAATTCTAGAGCTTTTTCTGTACCTGGTGCATCTCTCTCATTCATTAAATTTAGTTGTAAATGACGCTGTCGAAGTAACTTAATTTTTTAACATTATACAAGAATTATACACGTTTTTTTCTACATCCCCTTAAAGATGGGATGTACAAAATCGTAATATCACTGGTTTAACATTGAAAACCGCGAGTAATATAAAATCGGACAGCGGAATAAATATATCAAATATTTTAATGGATTTTTTTAAACTCCTGTCAACTATATAGAACTATCGTAAAAACATACCAGCAAATTCTTATCAGTTGGGTTAAGTTATAAATCTACTTGCGATTCAGGTAATTGGGTGAGGGCGGCCAAATATCTAGCGGGCAGGCAGGCGGCTAAGAGCCCGGATCTGGTCCTGGATAGAATTGGAAGCGTTATACGTGTATAGCTTCCGCCCAAGGTCATAGGCTTCCACCGGCTAAACCGGGTGAGGTTGGTGCTCTGTAGGGTTTCTCATTTCCCGGGAAATTTGCCTCCAGCGGGATTACTCCACGTAGATTGAAGATAGATCTAGACATGTGATAGATATGAATAATGCATGTTTGGTTTTATAGATAAACTAAACAAGCTATATATTAGGGCATCTTGCCAGGTGAGTGCGAGCACCATTTAGACTTCACATTTTTTAATTTATTGCTTGATTGAGAAAGAAGGGCCTCTTATATATATTTTAGAGCCATTACAAGTTTAAATTCAGCTCTGGTATAATGTATTTTTAGAAATATATTCCTTGTAGTGCACACATTATCATCATAAATATTTCTTATTTTATTAATTTAATATTAATATTATATTTAGATATAAATGAATGCTTTAGAAACAATGGTCATGGGCCTTGCAGTGATAAATGTACAAATACCAAAGGAGGATATTTTTGTTCTTGCACAATACCAGGAACAATTTTGGGACCAAATAATCACACATGTGAAGGTAATAAAATTCAATTATGGATCTGTATTTGACATTTTAAACAAGAAAAATTAATATAAATACATTATATATTTTATATATATTTTGTATTTCTATTTCAGATATTGATGAATGCAAAGAAAATAATTTTGGTTGTTCTCATATTTGTCACAATGCCTATGGTAAAGCATTTTGCTCATGCCCTGTAGGATTTATTCTTGATAATGATGATAAAACTTGTATTGGTAAGTTCATAATATTATTTTAATTTTTTAAACCTTTTGAAAGTTTTAAAACTTGTTAAGTATAGTCTACAATAACTATTTTATTGTAAATAATAGAGACTGATTATTATTAATAATTAGAGACTGAATATTAATAATAATAATTAAGCAAAGAGTGACCCACAAGCAGTGTCTGATCCAAAGTGTGAGTGGCTGCTAAATAGTACCTGTCCCTCATGTTAGGAGTGGTTAATCTATAAACACTTGGCTTTATGTGTATAAGCACAATTTCTATGGAGAAAACAAAAATGGTAATAACAGCATGCTATCAACTCAGATGTTGCCTGGGTTAACAAAATTCACATTTATGGGTAGGCAGAGGCTTATGTTCAAAAATACTGCCACAGTATCCCTTAGCCACCAGTGATGAATGCAGCACTGGCTCAAGTATGGCTATGTATCACAGACACATTCATCATCTCAAAAAACACACAGTGGACAACACATACCAGCCCAAACAAACAAAGTGTTTCAGCAGCAATCCAGCCACTAATCAGAAGACCAGAAAACCACATCAACAGCTGAAGTGGACTCAAGAAATGAATGAATTTATTTTCTATACCTACTACACCAACAATAAACTTAAAACAGACATGAGTTTACAGACAGTTGCTACATGATAAATTCACACTAAAATACTACCCACATCTCACTGTTACAGAGCAAAGTATTGTTGATCAAAAAGAATTATTATATACAATGACCTTATTCAATAAACAATGCTTGAACATATCAAATAACATGTTGCACAGAAAGTACAGTACATTACAAACTAGATCACATAATTGATTAGACACTCATTTAAGTCATCCTGCACCTTTTAGTACTTAGCATATTTTTTAAAACTGTACTCTGGTTAAAAATTGCGAAATTAGAATGCACACTTTTATTTATCAGAAAAAAAGTGTTTAAAAGAAGTCATTTACCATTAAAATATTCTACATGATTACATGTAATAGCAGTTTAACTATAATAAAAGCAAATAATAATTACAGAACACAAATACAGATTCCAAAAATAGAACCCTTATGGAGAAGCATTTTGGCCAGTAAAAAATGGCTTCAGAAAGTGACATAATAATAATGAAAGCAGACAAAAATAGGACTTTAGTTTTAATGGAAAGATCATCTACCTTTTTCAATTGGACACACTATTCACAGCACCTGAATGTGAGGGACTGGACCTGATGAATTTTGAGAGAAAATTCGTTTTTCGTCTTTCAAAAAAATTTTTTTTATTTTATTACTGGAGAATGATTACATCTCTCTCTGTAGTTGTTTCCTTTCCCAGGGAACTCATCGAATGTGTCACTGGGAACTAATATAAAAAATTCCCGATTGGTGAAAAAAGATAACGTGATTTGGAGGTATAAAAAAGAGTGGCTTAGGAACAAGGAGAGAGTCCTAGAGTTTGCCAATCGCCTTCCTTGAGAAAGGATATTTGAGTGCGCTTCCCAATCGCCGATCCTGTCCGCACCATCATTCCCCCCGACTGTTGCTCCTTTTTTTTTTTAGACAATTGAGGTTCTCTCTCCAGGAACTCTATACGGGTTTCTTTGTCTGGAACAGTGTTTCTCAACCTCTAACGAATCGTCGCCCCTTCAACGTAGTATCGCCCCCTTCACTACAAAATTCCGATGCCGAGGGACAAGGCTAACGACAAATTCGTACTGCATTGAATAGACTAGTTATCAGTATAATGTTATTTGTTTAATTATTGTACGATATAATGAATAAAATATCTAATTATTCTTAATATAATGTTTTACGATATCGCCCAGAAAATTGTTTTTTGGTCCCCCAAAATATAAATTGTTGCTAATTGCCCCCTGAACATGGAAAAACGCCCACATGGGGGCAATATCACCCCCGTTGAGAAACACTGGTCTAGAAGCTTGAACTTTTCGCACGAACTTGAACTTTTCTACCTGGGTGCATCCGCTCCATGAAGTTCAAGAATTCGACGAAACAAGGTATTTATTGCTGTGCAAAAAATAAATGTAAACTCTCTCTCTTGGTCAGGAATCCGTTAACCTCTGATGACGCTATATAGCTATAGATACTTCTTAACTTGCTACTAGAAAGCTAAAGAGAATTCTCGGTTACTTTATGTATTTGTGTAAAGATGTATATAAATAAACGGGTATTTTTCGTTCTAATTAAGTAGTAGTGTGCACTTCTTCCAATCTGTCATCTCTCAATCCTCCTCCATCCCAAATCTGATCACCTGCTCATGTGACCACTTGTGCAAATTCAGAATTTGCGGCCGTTAAGGTTTCTGTGTCTATCCTAGAAGACACAGTGGTGTCGGTCCTGATGAGGCACTAAAGAGGTGCCGATCCTCTGGTCACATGAATGTGAAAAGATAAATAACGATTCTTAGACAAACTACAAAATCAAGCCACCAAATTTGCACATACTCACATGACTAAGATTTTCTATTTAAACAAAACAATTTTAAAATATCCAGACACCTCAAGGCTTTTTGCATTCATTAAAACTCACAAACAAGACCAACATAAAAAGATGTATAGTTAATAAAGTAAAATCTCATATGCTACTTTTGGAAAGAGAAGTGCACACAACATATTGACACAAGTCTCAAAGATTGAGTTCACCTGTGCAGACACACAAAAATTGGTGGCTAAATTGTGAGAAATTAAGGTATTTAATGATGAACACATTACCATTTTAGAATTTGTCTCACTTTATCCCCAATTTGATTGCAACCATGTTTCTGTGCCCTACATAATTTTTTATTAGAATATGTTCAGAGAAGCCAAGCACACCACAAACACATTTTAGAAATTACCAATATCTAATGGTGTATTTCATTGGGCTACAATCTAAAAAAACTGTAGATATATAAATTCTCACTGTTGTGTGTCCGTCTGTCTTTCCTTAACCTCTAGAATGGAGTTAAATAGATGAAAGACAGAACCAGATATGAAAACCTTAGGTACTGAAGGCCCCCATTAACCATATAAGAACTTCTGATGCAAACCAGAAATCACGTTTTTTTAATTAAAAAATTTTCTCCAGAAAAGTGTTAGATAGACAACTGGCACGACTCTATTGTTAAAGGAAAAGTATGATGTACAGGAGTAAGCCACTACTAATTTCAGGTGGAGAGCGTATATTTTAAATTGAATAAATTAAAAATATGATTAAAAATTGCATCCTGGCATTGTGACGACGTCATGATAAATAATCATTCATTCTTCAAATAAAATGACAACACTTTTTTATACAAAAACATGGAGTACTTATGGGCAGTTCTCTTTCAGGAGACATTTGCAAATTATTGATAAGGACCCTGGAAAAGAAAATAGTACCTAGGTTTCTATCGAACATCATTCTGTACACAAGATAGATAGATGTAGATGTGTTCGTGGCATGGAAATCTAAACCTGTTATAAACAGAAAATTTAACAACAAATCATATGGTCGCAAGCTACAACTTGACAAATTCAACAATCATCAGTGCGGTTCCTTGAATATCAGATTCAGAAATGAAGGAATCACCACCAAGGTATACTATAAGCCAGATTATTACCTGTTTTTCATACCAGCACATTATAACAACCCCTTCTAGTAAAAAGTAGCAGCTTTTGGGGTGCTGGAAAGATGTGCTACATGCTTTGTACAGATATGGAAAACACTAAAAGAGAACTTAGACAAATTGAGAAAATCACGATCACACAAGATTATTGCATAGCAATGGCTCAAAAGTTGTAGGTTAAAAAGCAATGGAATAGAACAACTAACCAGAAATTCTACTTCCAACCAACCTGAACCCATGCCTATTATAGTGGATTTCAATCCCAAGCTAAATTCAATTTATAGGCAGATTGAATCATACTTAAATGCCTGCATTTGCTATCACTGAAATACCATGATATTCAAAGTATTGTGCAACAGCAAAGACTTTGAACCCTTTAAGTTTGAATAAGACATTTTTTATTTTTAACAAGCAATTTCTTCCTTAATATTTCAGAAAAAATAAATATAAAAGAGACAGTATCTAGCAGCTGTTATCAACAAATGTTATACACCTTTAAATTGTAGATAGTTTTATTATTCATAAAATATAATATCACTTGTAAAATTAATTGACTGTGTTTTTATTTTTATTTTTGTGTCTCTTATTGAATTTTCTTAGATTATAATGAATGTGAAATACCAGAATTTGCTCAGACTTGTAAAGAAAAATGTATAAATACAGTTGGAAGCTTCCATTGTCAGTCAGTTGAAGAATTAAAAGAAATTCCAGATTCTACACCAGCTTCAAGATGTAAGCCTGGTTACAAGCTTACTGAAATAGGAACGTGTAAAGGTGAGAATTAGCATTAATGTAAAGATAAAAATCTACATTAGTATAATAACAACATTAATATGAAGGTATTGGAATGATATTTTCATATTAATTCACATTCTATCACATATGTATTTGGTAGATACATGATGTATTTTTTTTATTGAATTTCTCAAAAATAAATAACAGTTGAACTTTGTAGTATTCCTCAACTGATAGGTTCTGAAGTAATTTCTACAGTGGTTTTCAAGTTTGAGAAATTTTACGAAAAACAATACCTTGCTACCACCTGCAGTAAATTCTCTCACAGCATGAGAGTGCTGTACTCTTGATTGTTGTACATAACAGTCACAATTCGATAAAATAACATTGTAGAATATTTAAACTTTACCACATTGCTACACATTCTGTCTTTTTCTCTTGGTTTCAATGACCGGACCAATTCCAATTCATTTCAAATAAGTCATTTCAGCTATTTTCTCGCTTTGGTGTTATTGCCCTGCTTTCTCACAATCAGAACATGATAAAAAATTTAATATTGATACAGTAGAGCCTCGAAAACTCGGCACTCGATAAACCGGCACTCCGGATAACTCGGCCACACCCTGGCAGGGCAAAAAAATCCTTAGTTAATTAATTTTCATGATAAAGACAGCTTTATGCCTCATAAAGTATTTTTCTGAGGTCTGTCTTATCAGGTAAATTACTGTACACAGTGTATTCATTAATTTTCATTTTCATGTAGTAAAGGCTCTATGTCATCATAAAGGACGTACTTTTCCTTTGTTTAAGGGTATTTGGGCAGTTTATTCTTTGTTGTATTCTCAAGTAAACAATACATACAAGTACAGTACAGTATTTTCTGAGGAAACACTCGTACTTATTTTTTTCAACCCCATTCCCGATAACCCGGCATTTTCACAAACCCCGCCACCCTTCGGTCCACATTAGGCCGAGTTTTCGAGGCTCTACTGTACTTTCAATTTTGCAACAATTAAAATTTATGTTCATTACATAGCAATACATTTAGTAATTGTGACCCAAACATTTATTTGGTAATTTTATCAATATTTTTTAAATTATTAAAAATAAATTTATAGAATTCATTACTGGCAATACTAGTTGTTAAATCTAAAAGAAAACAGTCCCCTGAGTGCAAGAAAACAATCTGTTAGTCATTTGACCCACTACTAACAGAAAAGGGAGTTTTTGAAAACAAAGTAATAAAATGATTAACAGTTTTGTGAGGTTGCTGATGGGGTGGAAATTTCAAGAGAGTCAATGGGTCATGAAGGGTTTGCATGTGGGTGATCGGCACTGAGACAGACTACGGTTACAAGAAACCATTTATTTGACACGAAAAAACTTACAAGATTTCTGCAATCTTGGAGGTTCTAAGTCAGTAGCAGCCTCTGGGTCTTCCTTTCCTTTTCAATATAGTTCAAAATGAAGGAATGTCCCTGGTTTGCAAATGACAGTTCCCTCGATGTCTTGACGACTCCAGGACGATGTGGTAGACTTCTAGTGATGGGAAGATGTCGATTTGAGGTCGGGAGAGGGAGTTAAAGATGAGCACGAGACACACACAAAACAACTGGTCCTTGGAACTTTCAGGAGAAGCCATCGTGTCCTTGAATTCCCAGGGTTTTATTAATTTCTGTCCTTGATTGCCCATTCCGATTGGTTTTTTTTCCTAGTTCTCGTTTTCTAAGTGGTTGACCACTTGTTACTATGTGTAACAACATCTCAACTTAGATTGCAGGAGAGGTCAAAATCGAAGTTTAATTCAATCCTCAACCAGAGATGGTCTATGGACTTACATTTTTCTATTGTTTAAAAGTTTGCATCGCATTTTCATACAAAAAATTATTTCTAGCTTCTTTTTGTTTCTTTAAAAAATAGTTTTTTTAACGCAAATTTCAGTGAGGGTTTAGACAGAGCCTCACAGTTTGTTGTCCTTCATAGTATGGGGACCAGCAGAGTCTATTACTTTTGCAGGAGAAAATAAACAAATCTTTTACTACCCTAAAGTTGAAAATTCAACAAATCTGATGTCAATAAGTGAAAGCTGAAGTGATTTATAGTGAATTGAAATTTGATAAGTTTAATTTTTTGCATTTACAGATCAAATTAAATAAAATATAAATAAAAATCTAATTTTTTTAAACCCACAAGTACTTTATACTGTTAGATAGTCGAGAATATGTAGAAATCAAAGATATAACCACAGTCAAGCATATATATCTGTAAAAATATAAAAATTGCATTAATTTGCATTATGTATCCAGCAAATACAATGCACTAAGTGAGCTTTTAAAACTCTGTGCCTAAAGGGGAGTTAATTAATGATAATTCTTCATGTTACAATATAGAGGAAGTGGCCAAACTCCACTTTTTTCCTGTATATTTTCTATTTAAAATCGTTTTCATTTACAGTGCAATAAAATGAGTTCTTTTGATATGTTCATGGACAACATTAATTTCATATTTTCAGAAAAATTACAAATTTTTTCATGTTTTAATAGACCATGTTGCCTAAAATTAATCAAAAATGATGCTGCAATCAATTTGTTAGAATTCAGCATAAAGTATCGCATTACCTGAATTTTTAACATGACATGAACCAATATTTACTTTAATTAAGGAGAAATAACATTATGCAAAAATAACATAGCATGATTTTTGTGTTACATGGAAATCCACTTTATATTAATTAATAAAGAAACATTTTCTTTCAAATTTAATATAAAGTATCATTTGATATGATTAGTGCTATCTGTCACATCAGAAAGCTATTTTATGATATTCTAATGTCATTTATTGTAAGTTAAAAATACTATATTAACTCTAATTTATTTTCATAGCAGCATTAGTGTGTTTTGTAAACATGTCATTATTAAAATTGTTTTTAAATTATTAATAAACATTTTACAGATATTAATGAATGTGAATCTGATCGATTGAACAATTGTAAACACAACTGTACTAATACTCCTGGAAGTTTTCAATGTTCATGTTTGTCTGGATATCGCTTACTCGGCGACGGATCTTGTGAAGGTATGTAGAAATAAAAATTTAATTTATAAATTTCAAATCTAGCATCTTTTATAAATAATTTATTCTTTTCAAAAAAATAATTATTTCGTATATAATCACCCATTATGGCATTCAACCGACTATCACTTTACCCTGACATGGTGTATATATACATATATAAACATCTTGCAACCCGATGACGTTAATCATAGTGGATGCATTATATAGGCAATGGGCATACGAGTCGTCCCCAGTTGGTGCCATGAGTAACCGTGGATGGTTATATCAAGAATTAAATATGTCTGGAAGTGAAGAATTGCTCAGGGTCTAGGTAGCATAACTGGTAACACATGCGCACGGTAGGCAGGAGTTGCAGGTTCGAGTCCTTCTCTGGACCGATTCTTTTCTTCCAGAATATTCTAAGTTATTTAATTTATTATAATTATAAAATTTAATAAAGGATGGTGCTTAACTCCTATCTTTAATACTTAACTACATACAATTTAAATTATATTAGTACTGAAAAAATAACCTGATAATTTACGGCAATCGTTTGGTTCCAATTAATAATATCGGGTTGTGAGATGTTTATATATATAAGACTAATTTAATTAGAAAGTAATTTGACTAGAGATAAGCGGTTAGGCTACCATCTTGTGATAATTTTAAAAATTATAAATAAATAAATAAAATAATTTTTAATTTAGAATGTTTTGGATGAAGAAAATCTGCCTGGAGTGGAATCCAAACCTTAAACTTATGCTTACAATGCAGATGCATTGCTGATCTTCACTTCCAGAATTTTAATTTAGATATAAAATATTATTTATAATTAGTATTTTAGAAGTCTATATATTATTACTTCCTTATTTATTTATTTATATTTTCTTTTTGATGCAAATACTTTTACAGATATTGATGAATGTGAAGATAAACAATTACATAGATGCCATCATTATTGTGTTAATACCGTTGGAAGTTTTAACTGTACATGTGCAACTGGCTTTGAGTTATTTAAAAACAAAAGTTGTAAAGGTACAATAAAATTAAATTAAACTTTTTACATATGTTAAAAATATTTAGTATTAAACTTAATAATGTTAAAGGATAGAAAATTACTTTAAACAACTATATTAATGAGTATAATCTGATTATTATACTGGTTTCTAAAGCAAAAAACTTAAACTTTGTAATATTTAAAAATTATTATTATTAAATATTAATTTAATCAAATTATTATTCAAATTACATCAACAACTTAATAAGAAAAGGGATCAAATAGTCATCTTTTTTTTTCTACCTAATCTAACTCTATTCTAGAAAAAATTTTCTAATTGAAATAATGTGATTTTCTGGGCTAAACTGGAAGATTGTATATACAGTAATACCCCGAACTTACGCGATATGTGGGACTGAGCGATAACCACGTAAGTTGAATTTGCGTAAGTCGGGGTATAATTTCGAAATTTGTGTAAAATCCAAGTCAGATGTATGTAATAAATGTTAATAAAAAAGCTAATAAATGTTCTTGTTAGTCTTATCTCGTCTTTTGATTCGTTCAGTTACAAGAAATCACCACATAGAGTCTCTCAAGTCTCCATAGATATAACAAACACAAAAATAAATAACTCAAAATAAATTGTAGCTATGTGTTGATTTCTCACAACATGTTCGAACATGTAAGCTGAACAATAGTGTGGGGGGAGTGAGTAATCAAGAGTCGTGTGGTGCTCAAACAAAAGACGAATCGATGAGATTTGAAAATCTCGTAAGTCGGGGTAGTGTAAGTCGAGATATTACTGTAGTTAATTGGAGCATCCGGCTCCTAATCTTTCCATGTCTGGTCTTGACTTTCATCTATCTAACTCCATTCTCAAGATTGAGGAAGGACAGACAATGGAAGGATGCCAGTGGGAATATATAAATCTGAAATTTTAAAATTGCAGCCCAATTATTGAAATTACATCAATGACTTAAATTCTATGTAAAAACATTTTTTATAAAACAGATTAATGAAATTACTATAAAAATATTAAATTCTATAATATCTAGTAATTAATTTCCTGTTTAATGTATATAGTATATTGATATATACATACATATATTCACACCTTTTCCCTTTCAGGTTGGCAGTGAACGCACTGTCTCCACACTGCTCAACCCAAACTACTTCTCTCACTTCTTCCACACTCATTGAGGCCTTTTGTACACATTAATGCTGACTTTGTCCATACATACTCATAATATCCTTTATAATCAAATCATCTCAAAGCAAAAATGGCCCTCTGGGTTTAACTTAGAGATCCAGGATTGAATCCTGGATCTCTCAAAGCAGTGGGCTGACACCTTATATTATTTAATACTAAATATTATAAAATGTTTAAAATCTGAACTATTTTAACTACAGAATTACAAGATTTTTAATTTGAGTGAAAAAAACAGTATATTGACATTTTTGAGACTTAGATTTTACAGTTATGATTTAAAATTAGTACTTTATTTGTTCAATATTTTCATGTTTATTGTTTTTAATTTTGTCCTCCTCTTTAGATATTGACGAATGCAGCATTAATAATGGCGGCTGTTCTTATTCTTGTACTAATGAACCGGGAAGTTTTCACTGCAATTGTCCGAGAGGTTATAAATTAGACGAAGATGGAATCAATTGTATCGGTACGTATTCCGGTTATGCCTATGCGGTACCGGAAATGTACGTTTTATATGTACCTAAATAAAAGATTGTGTATCGGTACGTGTAAATATTATTCATAATTATGCATTTGTTTTGCCATTATTTGCCATGTTAGAATTATAATTTTTTTTATCATTCAAAGTACCGGAACAGTTTCTTATTTCACAAAAATACAAATATTCTGATAAGTTTACGAATAGAAATTGATTTTAATAAGCTTTTTTTGTAAGAATAACTTTCATATTAGTTTTCATTATATTAATTAATTTGTATTTTTAAATTTTATTTATTAAAATAATAATATATTCTAAATAAATTAGCAATATGTTATATTATACTATTTCATTTATAATATAAAATTAATTTTTAATTAATTATTTTAGATATCGACGAATGCTCCATATATAAAAACGTCTGTCAGCAACGCTGTATTAATACAAAAGGAAGCTTTCAATGTGCTTGTAATGAGGGATATAAAGTATCTGAGTCTAGTCCTTACATGTGCACAGGTAATGTAATGTTAACTATGCATTAATAATAATAAATATTAATTTTATTTGTAGATTGTTTCAAATCAGTTTCATTTGTGCCATTTAGAAGGATAATTATTGACAATTACATATTCAAATGTATATGTAACTTGTGCTTTTACTTTCCTGGCTGTTATGTGATATACTATTTTGTATCATCTGTTTCTAAATTAATAAGATTCTGGCTTATGGTTTCATATGCTTATTAATTCTCAGAATACAATGCCGTTTTGCTAATCCAAACTGATTAAACTGAATCAATTTTGTTCATTTTGCTGCTAAATATTATGGTTGAAAACAAAAAGAAATCTTAGATTATTTGTTTTTAAATATGATGATTTATAAAATTAATATATACATATGAAGCAAATATAGTATAAAAATCGTAAAAAATGTATGTATTTGTCTATAATCCTCTTAGACTTCCTTTTATTTATATATAAATTCGCTAATCTGAATGATCCCCACAGTGATGATTTCGGCTTAGTGGGGATGCAATATATTTAAAGCACTTTTAATTTTATTGGCCATCGAAAAAAATTTTATTTCAGAAGCCAATCTAATTAACTCCGTACTGTAATGTAAATCCACCAGCGCACACTGCAGCATTGCAATCGCAGTGTGCGCTGACCAGTGCCTTGTGGATAATGGTAAATTATTTAATGTTATCTCATCGAAAAAGTTAAATAAAAGAAATTAGTTAGTTACAGTCCAAGTGCCGCAGAAGTAAGTATACTTGTGGGATATTGAACAATTGTTTTAATTTTGGTGGCAATTGTTTTTAGAAAAAAAAAAAGTTATGCCATTATACCAAGATGGATGAAACTAAAAATAATTTTTTTCATGCCTCCTATTAAACATGAATGTATATTATTTTGTCACTTTTCTCCACTCTTTTATTTTATAGAGTTAATCAATTTGGCAAGTGAGCAGCACATATAAGGGGCATTGATGCTACTCAATTTTGGTGTGCAGAAATCGAAGTTGGGGAGATCAAGGAAGGAGTCGTGAGTCACATCATGTATCGAGTGGGGTTGAACTTAAATACATATTGAAACTGAATACAAAATTAATAAAAAACTTCATTACTGTATTGCACAATAAGCTGATACTAATGAAGATTTAAAAGTGTTAAAATCTGTTAAAGCAGGTTTGTCAAACTCACTTAAACAACAAGCCATTAATGCGACTGGTAAGATTCACAAGGGCCACATCACATTTACAAATTTTTTAAAAATTATAATTTGAAGTGAAAATGCAGGAATATAGATAGGGCAATTAAAATGCATTATGTAGTTCAGTGAATTCAACTCAACAATATATAATTGCTATAGTATTGCTTTTATTTAAACATTTAATTTATTTAATGTACATATTTATAAAACTAAAATTAATTGTTTTCACTGGAAACTTGCAAGCACTATCTTCCATCTCCTAGTTTTCCAATATATGGATTCAAAGAGTGAGAACAATCTTTATTATGGTAAATAGACGTTTATCAGTTAATCTTGATCTGTAAGCCATTTTATTTAATTTCAGAGAAATCACATCGGGGGCTGTCAGTTTGACACTCGTGTTAAAGAATACTTTTTATTACTTTGTTTAATTTTATGTTTTTATTCTGTTCTGATAGATATGGATGAATGCTCAGAAGGCAGTCATAACTGCAGTCATAATTGCATTAATTATCTTGGTGGATATTACTGTACCTGCAAAAATGGATATCGTTTTTCTGAAAATTTGAAATCATGTGTAGGTAAGACAGTTTTCTATAAAAGTAGCAATATAAAAACACATTGAAAAATTTTAAAATAAAAGCTTTAATTGTAATAAGAGTTTTAATTTTTAGAATCCTATTTGCTTGTATACATTTCTAAATTTTAAAATCTCATTTTAATTCAAATTTTAATAATTTTCCTTAGAAAATTTTTGAAATACATTAGACTCTTGTTAATCTCTCTGTAACTATGCCGATTAGAGGGGGGAATTTTACTCCCTTGTTCAGGATGGTCTAGGGACCTTGCGTATGTGGGTGTCGATGGTGGAGGCAAAGAGAACAAGTCTTTTACAAAAACTGTTTATTTTGTCAAAGTTTATGCTTACATCAGTATTTGACAAAGTCCAAGAGTTAAACATTGTTCCGACAGCAGTGTTGATTTGAGTCACTCTTCTGATGTCCTGATGGGGCAGTGGCAAGTTGGGGCCCAGTGTGTGTAACTAGTGTATACGATAACTTTTGTTTTGACACCACTCTGTGATGGCACAGAGAGAAGGTTGTGAATGACAGAGGAGGAATGCCCATCACATCCTTGAATAGCTGTGTTTTATAAGTTTTTCATTCTCAGTTCATTTCCTAATTGATGCCCCCCTATGGTCTCCCACTTGTCTCCAGGTGGAATTTGAGACCAGTTATGGCCACGACAGTGGCGTAGCATGGATGTCAGCTGCCCGGGGCAGAGGAAAATTTCGCTTCCTCCTTATTTAGGTATCTCAATTTAAAAGACTAAAATTCAGTTTCGTCACAAAATAAGTAATGAAATATTTCATATTCATTTCAATCAGTCCAAATCATAGGTGCGACAAAAATATGAAATGAAATGGTTCAAATTTTTACAAGATATTATTATTATTTATTGTGAAATTTTGCTGCCCCTGTCGCCCCCACTACGCTACGCCACTGGGCCACAAGAAAGGTCTGCTTGGGATGGTTTATCCAACATCATCCTTTCCTTTACTAATAGCAAAGGTGTCAGTCTGGTGTCTCCATCTCAACATCGGTAAACCTGACACCTTGCAATGCTGTATTTCTCCGCATTAATAATTTTTTTAGTTTTAAATTTTACAACTTTTTTTTTTTCATTCAAACTATTTCCAGGACCTCTCACGTCCATTCCATGTGCAGAGGCATGTTGGATTACTGAGAGTATATAGATCTAAAGCCTGCCCAAAAGCACACAAAAAATGACATGATCTGTTGCTTTTTGGTACAAATTCGTTTCGGTGGCATGTGAACAAATAGTACAACACCCCAAAATGTAACACTGTGCACAGAAAAGAAACCCGAGTAAACAGGAAAACATTGAAATGAATGAGATTTTCATGGAAAAGAAGTGCATGGGCCTCCACACTAGAGAGTATACTAGATAATTGAGAGGCTAGGTTAGCAAGAGTCTACTGTAATAATTAAATTTTGATGTAATTAATTTTACTTTAAATTTTTAATTTATCATTGGAAATATATGTCATGTGATTATAATTGAATTAATTATTAATCTCATTAATTTAATTGTGGAGAAATTTTTGTTTTCTNCAAGAAAACAATCTGTTAGTCATTTGACCCACTACTAACAGAAAAGGGAGTTTTTGAAAACAAAGTAATAAAATGATTAACAGTTTTGTGAGGTTGCTGATGGGGTGGAAATTTCAAGAGAGTCAATGGGTCATGAAGGGTTTGCATGTGGGTGATCGGCACTGAGACAGACTACGGTTACAAGAAACCATTTATTTGACACGAAAAAACTTACAAGATTTCTGCAATCTTGGAGGTTCTAAGTCAGTAGCAGCCTCTGGGTCTTCCTTTCCTTTTCAATATAGTTCAAAATGAAGGAATGTCCCTGGTTTGCAAATGACAGTTCCCTCGATGTCTTGACGACTCCAGGACGATGTGGTAGACTTCTAGTGATGGGAAGATGTCGATTTGAGGTCGGGAGAGGGAGTTAAAGATGAGCACGAGACACACACAAAACAACTGGTCCTTGGAACTTTCAGGAGAAGCCATCGTGTCCTTGAATTCCCAGGGTTTTATTAATTTCTGTCCTTGATTGCCCATTCCGATTGGTTTTTTTTCCTAGTTCTCGTTTTCTAAGTGGTTGACCACTTGTTACTATGTGTAACAACATCTCAACTTAGATTGCAGGAGAGGTCAAAATCGAAGTTTAATTCAATCCTCAACCAGAGATGGTCTATGGACTTACATTTTTCTATTGTTTAAAAGTTTGCATCGCATTTTCATACAAAAAATTATTTCTAGCTTCTTTTTGTTTCTTTAAAAAATAGTTTTTTTAACGCAAATTTCAGTGAGGGTTTAGACAGAGCCTCACAGTTTGTTGTCCTTCATAGTATGGGGACCAGCAGAGTCTATTACTTTTGCAGGAGAAAATAAACAAATCTTTTACTACCCTAAAGTTGAAAATTCAACAAATCTGATGTCAATAAGTGAAAGCTGAAGTGATTTATAGTGAATTGAAATTTGATAAGTTTAATTTTTTGCATTTACAGATCAAATTAAATAAAATATAAATAAAAATCTAATTTTTTTAAACCCACAAGTACTTTATACTGTTAGATAGTCGAGAATATGTAGAAATCAAAGATATAACCACAGTCAAGCATATATATCTGTAAAAATATAAAAATTGCATTAATTTGCATTATATATCTAGTGGATACAATGCACCAAGTGAGCTTTTAAAACTCTGTGCCTAAAGGGGAGTTAATTAATGATAATTCTTCATGTTACAATATAGAGGAAGTGGCCAAACTCCACTTTTTTCCTGTATATTTTCTATTTAAAATCGTTTTCATTTACAGTGCAATAAAATGAGTTCTTTTGATATGTTCATGGACAACATTAATTTCATATTTTCAGAAAAATTACAAATTTTTTCATGTTTTAATAGACCATGTTGCCTAAAATTAATCAAAAATGATGCTGCAATCAATTTGTTAGAATTCAGCATAAAGTATCGCATTACCTGAATTTTTAACATGACATGAACCAATATTTACTTTAATTAAGGAGAAATAACATTATGCAAAAATAACATAGCATGATTTTTGTGTTACATGGAAATCCACTTTATATTAATTAATAAAGAAACATTTTCTTTCAAATTTAATATAAAGTATCATTTGATATGATTAGTGCTATCTGTCACATCAGAAAGCTATTTTATGATATTCTAATGTCATTTATTGTAAGTTAAAAATACTATATTAACTCTAATTTATTTTCATAGCAGCATTAGTGTGTTTTGTAAACATGTCATTATTAAAATTGTTTTTAAATTATTAATAAACATTTTACAGATATTAATGAATGTGAATCTGATCGATTGAACAATTGTAAACACAACTGTACTAATACTCCTGGAAGTTTTCAATGTTCATGTTTGTCTGGATATCGCTTACTCGGCGACGGATCTTGTGAAGGTATGTAGAAATAAAAATTTAATTTATAAATTTCAAATCTAGCATCTTTTATAAATAATTTATCAAGAGATGGTACCTAATGCTTAGCTCTAGGCCAAATTACACGACATTTAATTAGTAATTAGTAGCATTAATATATGTATTAATAGCCCGATGTAATCCAACAATCATTTGGCATTAATCTAAAAATTGGGTTTATATTTTCATATCTCTTTTTTATGAGCTATATATGTTGTATATTTAAAAGTATGAGGGTCATTCTAAAAGTAAAGAATGTTTGTTTCTCTAGATATTTTTATTTAAGATAATGAAACAAAACTTATTTTACAACACATATGATACCTTAGCTATATTTCTACATAGTCGCCATACAATTTTAAACATTTGTCTTAGCATTTCATCAGCTTTTCTATGCCTTCTGCACACTCAATTACTGCCATGTTCCTGAACCAGTCATTAGTGACCTCTTTCAGTTTGTTGTCACTTCCATAGTGATTCCTGGCTAAAAAATCCTTCAATTTTAGGAAAAGATATAATCATTTGGAACCTAGTCCAGGCTATAAGAAGGATGTTCAAAAACTTCCCACTTAAACTGCTGAAGCAAGTTCTTCGTCAATGCAGCAGCATGCAGACATGCATTATCCTGAAGAAGCACAATGCCTCTGGACAACAATCCCTACTGTTTGTTTCGAACTGAAGCTTCATTCGTCACATTACCATAAATCTTGGTTATCTGTCTGTAAATTTTGATAGAGTGGACTTTTTTCGCATTCAAAAAGTGTATTACACTACAAACCTCGCACTTGGCAGGATCTNTATTTTGTATTTCTATTTCAGATATTGATGAATGTGAAGATAAACAATTACATAGATGCCATCATTATTGTGTTAATACCGTTGGAAGTTTTAACTGTACATGTGCAACTGGCTTTGAGTTATTTAAAAACAAAAGTTGTAAAGGTACAATAAAATTAAATTAAACTTTTTACATATGTTAAAAATATTTAGTATTAAACTTAATAATGTTAAAGGATAGAAAATTACTTTAAACAACTATATTAATGAGTATAATCTGATTATTATACTGGTTTCTAAAGCAAAAAACTTAAACTTTGTAATATTTAAAAATTATTATTATTAAATATTAATTTAATCAAATTATTATTCAAATTACATCAACAACTTAATAAGAAAAGGGATCAAATAGTCATCTTTTTTTTTCTACCTAATCTAACTCTATTCTAGAAAAAATTTTCTAATTGAAATAATGTGATTTTCTGGGCTAAACTGGAAGATTGTATATACAGTAATACCCCGAACTTACGCGATATGTGGGACTGAGCGATAACCACGTAAGTTGAATTTGCGTAAGTCGGGGTATAATTTCGAAATTTGTGTAAAATCCAAGTCAGATGTATGTAATAAATGTTAATAAAAAAGCTAATAAATGTTCTTGTTAGTCTTATCTCGTCTTTTGATTCGTTCAGTTACAAGAAATCACCACATAGAGTCTCTCAAGTCTCCATAGATATAACAAACACAAAAATAAATAACTCAAAATAAATTGTAGCTATGTGTTGATTTCTCACAACATGTTCGAACATGTAAGCTGAACAATAGTGTGGGGGGAGTGAGTAATCAAGAGTCGTGTGGTGCTCAAACAAAAGACGAATCGATGAGATTTGAAAATCTCGTAAGTCGGGGTAGTGTAAGTCGAGATATTACTGTAGTTAATTGGAGCATCCGGCTCCTAATCTTTCCATGTCTGGTCTTGACTTTCATCTATCTAACTCCATTCTCAAGATTGAGGAAGGACAGACAATGGAAGGATGCCAGTGGGAATATATAAATCTGAAATTTTAAAATTGCAGCCCAATTATTGAAATTACATCAATGACTTAAATTCTATGTAAAAACATTTTTTATAAAACAGATTAATGAAATTACTATAAAAATATTAAATTCTATAATATCTAGTAATTAATTTCCTGTTTAATGTATATAGTATATTGATATATACATACATATATTCACACCTTTTCCCTTTCAGGTTGGCAGTGAACGCACTGTCTCCACACTGCTCAACCCAAACTACTTCTCTCACTTCTTCCACACTCATTGAGGCCTTTTGTACACATTAATGCTGACTTTGTCCATACATACTCATAATATCCTTTATAATCAAATCATCTCAAAGCAAAAATGGCCCTCTGGGTTTAACTTAGAGATCCAGGATTGAATCCTGGATCTCTCAAAGCAGTGGGCTGACACCTTATATTATTTAATACTAAATATTATAAAATGTTTAAAATCTGAACTATTTTAACTACAGAATTACAAGATTTTTAATTTGAGTGAAAAAAACAGTATATTGACATTTTTGAGACTTAGATTTTACAGTTATGATTTAAAATTAGTACTTTATTTGTTCAATATTTTCATGTTTATTGTTTTTAATTTTGTCCTCCTCTTTAGATATTGACGAATGCAGCATTAATAATGGCGGCTGTTCTTATTCTTGTACTAATGAACCGGGAAGTTTTCACTGCAATTGTCCGAGAGGTTATAAATTAGACGAAGATGGAATCAATTGTATCGGTACGTATTCCGGTTATGCCTATGCGGTACCGGAAATGTACGTTTTATATGTACCTAAATAAAAGATTGTGTATCGGTACGTGTAAATATTATTCATAATTATGCATTTGTTTTGCCATTATTTGCCATGTTAGAATTATAATTTTTTTTATCATTCAAAGTACCGGAACAGTTTCTTATTTCACAAAAATACAAATATTCTGATAAGTTTACGAATAGAAATTGATTTTAATAAGCTTTTTTTGTAAGAATAACTTTCATATTAGTTTTCATTATATTAATTAATTTGTATTTTTAAATTTTATTTATTAAAATAATAATATATTCTAAATAAATTAGCAATATGTTATATTATACTATTTCATTTATAATATAAAATTAATTTTTAATTAATTATTTTAGATATCGACGAATGCTCCATATATAAAAACGTCTGTCAGCAACGCTGTATTAATACAAAAGGAAGCTTTCAATGTGCTTGTAATGAGGGATATAAAGTATCTGAGTCTAGTCCTTACATGTGCACAGGTAATGTAATGTTAACTATGCATTAATAATAATAAATATTAATTTTATTTGTAGATTGTTTCAAATCAGTTTCATTTGTGCCATTTAGAAGGATAATTATTGACAATTACATATTCAAATGTATATGTAACTTGTGCTTTTACTTTCCTGGCTGTTATGTGATATACTATTTTGTATCATCTGTTTCTAAATTAATAAGATTCTGGCTTATGGTTTCATATGCTTATTAATTCTCAGAATACAATGCCGTTTTGCTAATCCAAACTGATTAAACTGAATCAATTTTGTTCATTTTGCTGCTAAATATTATGGTTGAAAACAAAAAGAAATCTTAGATTATTTGTTTTTAAATATGATGATTTATAAAATTAATATATACATATGAAGCAAATATAGTATAAAAATCGTAAAAAATGTATGTATTTGTCTATAATCCTCTTAGACTTCCTTTTATTTATATATAAATTCGCTAATCTGAATGATCCCCACAGTGATGATTTCGGCTNTATGGTTGAAAACAAAAAGAAATCTTAGATTATTTGTAAAAATAAAGAAAATTTGTAAAATTAATATATACATATGAAGCAAATATAGTATAAAAATCGTAAAAAATGTATGTATTTGTCTATAATCCTCTTAGACTTCCTTTTATTTATATATAAATTCGCTAATCTGAATGATCCCCACAGTGATGATTTCGGCTTAGTGGGGATGCAATATATTTAAAGCACTTTTAATTTTATTGGCCATCGAAAAAAATTTTATTTCAGAAGCCAATCTAATTAACTCCGTACTGTAATGTAAATCCACCAGCGCACACTGCAGCATTGCAATCGCAGTGTGCGCTGACCAGTGCCTTGTGGATAATGGTAAATTATTTAATGTTATCTCATCGAAAAAGTTAAATAAAAGAAATTAGTTAGTTACAGTCCAAGTGCCGCAGAAGTAAGTATACTTGTGGGATATTGAACAATTGTTTTAATTTTGGTGGCAATTGTTTTTAGAAAAAAAAAAAGTTATGCCATTATACCAAGATGGATGAAACTAAAAATAATTTTTTTCATGCCTCCTATTAAACATGAATGTATATTATTTTGTCACTTTTCTCCACTCTTTTATTTTATAGAGTTAATCAATTTGGCAAGTGAGCAGCACATATAAGGGGCATTGATGCTACTCAATTTTGGTGTGCAGAAATCGAAGTTGGGGAGATCAAGGAAGGAGTCGTGAGTCACATCATGTATCGAGTGGGGTTGAACTTAAATACATATTGAAACTGAATACAAAATTAATAAAAAACTTCATTACTGTATTGCACAATAAGCTGATACTAATGAAGATTTAAAAGTGTTAAAATCTGTTAAAGCAGGTTTGTCAAACTCACTTAAACAACAAGCCATTAATGCGACTGGTAAGATTCACAAGGGCCACATCACATTTACAAATTTTCTTAAAATTATAATTTGGAGTGAGAATGCAGGAATATAGATAGGGCAATTAAAACACATTATGTAGTTCAGTAAATTCAACTCAACAATATATAATTGCTATAGTATTGCTTTTATTTAAACATTTAATTTATTTAATGTACATATTTATAAAACTAAAATTAATTGTTTTCACTGGAAACTTGCAAGCACTATCTTCCATCTCCTAGTTTTCCAATATATGGATTCAAAGAGTGAGAACAATCTTTATTATGGTAAATAGACGTTTATCAGTTAATCTTGATCTGTAAGCCATTTTATTTAATTTCAGAGAAATCACATCGGGGGCTGTCAGTTTGACACTCGTGTTAAAGAATACTTTTTATTACTTTGTTTAATTTTATGTTTTTATTCTGTTCTGATAGATATGGATGAATGCTCAGAAGGCAGTCATAACTGCAGTCATAATTGCATTAATTATCTTGGTGGATATTACTGTACCTGCAAAAATGGATATCGTTTTTCTGAAAATTTGAAATCATGTGTAGGTAAGACAGTTTTCTATAAAAGTAGCAATATAAAAACACATTGAAAAATTTTAAAATAAAAGCTTTAATTGTAATAAGAGTTTTAATTTTTAGAATCCTATTTGCTTGTATACATTTCTAAATTTTAAAATCTCATTTTAATTCAAATTTTAATAATTTTCCTTAGAAAATTTTTGAAATACATTAGACTCTTGTTAATCTCTCTGTAACTATGCCGATTAGAGGGGGGAATTTTACTCCCTTGTTCAGGATGGTCTAGGGACCTTGCGTATGTGGGTGTCGATGGTGGAGGCAAAGAGAACAAGTCTTTTACAAAAACTGTTTATTTTGTCAAAGTTTATGCTTACATCAGTATTTGACAAAGTCCAAGAGTTAAACATTGTTCCGACAGCAGTGTTGATTTGAGTCACTCTTCTGATGTCCTGATGGGGCAGTGGCAAGTTGGGGCCCAGTGTGTGTAACTAGTGTATACGATAACTTTTGTTTTGACACCACTCTGTGATGGCACAGAGAGAAGGTTGTGAATGACAGAGGAGGAATGCCCATCACATCCTTGAATAGCTGTGTTTTATAAGTTTTTCATTCTCAGTTCATTTCCTAATTGATGCCCCCCTATGGTCTCCCACTTGTCTCCAGGTGGAATTTGAGACCAGTTATGGCCACAACAGTGGCGTAGCATGGATGTCAGCTGCCCGGGGCAGAGGAAAATTTCGCTTCCTCCTTATTTAGGTATCTCAATTTAAAAGACTAAAATTCAGTTTCGTCACAAAATAAGTAATGAAATATTTCATATTCATTTCAATCAGTCCAAATCATAGGTGCGACAAAAATATGAAATGAAATGGTTCAAATTTTTACAAGATATTATTATTATTTATTGTGAAATTTTGCTGCCCCTGTCGCCCCCACTACGCTACGCCACTGGGCCACAAGAAAGGTCTGCTTGGGATGGTTTATCCAACATCATCCTTTCCTTTACTAATAGCAAAGGTGTCAGTCTGGTGTCTCCATCTCAACATCGGTAAACCTGACACCTTGCAATGCTGTATTTCTCCGCATTAATAATTTTTTTAGTTTTAAATTTTACAACTTTTTTTTTTTCATTCAAACTATTTCCAGGACCTCTCACGTCCATTCCATGTGCAGAGGCATGTTGGATTACTGAGAGTATATAGATCTAAAGCCTGCCCAAAAGCACACAAAAAATGACATGATCTGTTGCTTTTTGGTACAAATTCGTTTCGGTGGCATGTGAACAAATAGTACAACACCCCAAAATGTAACACTGTGCACAGAAAAGAAACCCGAGTAAACAGGAAAACATTGAAATGAATGAGATTTTCATGGAAAAGAAGTGCATGGGCCTCCACACTAGAGAGTATACTAGATAATTGAGAGGCTAGGTTAGCAAGAGTCTACTGTAATAATTAAATTTTGATGTAATTAATTTTACTTTAAATTTTTAATTTATCATTGGAAATATATGTCATGTGATTATAATTGAATTAATTATTAATCTCATTAATTTAATTGTGGAGAAATTTTTGTTTTCTTCATAAATAATGTGAATAATCAATATTAAGAGACAAATAAACCATTTTACTATTGATGATAAAAGTTATTTTTTAAAAACTATAACATTAATTTAATTTTAATAGATATTGATGAATGTTCAGAAGACAGTAGAAATCTCTGCAGTCAAATTTGCAATAATTATGAAGGCGGATATAACTGTTCTTGTGAAAGTGGATATCAACTTTCTTCAGATTTAAACTCGTGTCTGGGTGAGTTAATTTAATTTATAAAACAAAATAAATTTAAGAAATATTAATTGTAAATAGTGGTTTTCAAACTTTTATTACCACAAAAAGTTTTTATGAAATAAATATTTAAAAACAACCAAACTATCGCCTTAAATTGCGCTCTAACCACTAATTTAATGTTTAATACTAAGTAATTTGCTACTAGAGGTAGACGTTAGGCACCGTCTCTTAACTAAATTAATAATTTATTAAATAATTTAGAACCATCTGGAAGAAAAGAACTGATCTGGGGTGGGACCTTGAACCTGAAACCACTTGCTGTGCAGTGCGCTTGCCAGTTGCACCACCAGTTGCTTGCCAGTTACCCCAAGCAAGTCTTCGCTTCCCAATGTATTTAAAGGTAGATGTAACCTTATGCGGCACCATGATTAACTGCTTAAGGCTATATCTAAACTTAAATACATCTGGAAGTGAAGGTTTGCTTAGGATCCAAGTGGTGCAAATGGCAAGCGCACTGCACAGCAAGCGGAGGTTGCAGGTTCAAGTCCCACCCCAGATCAGTTCTTTTCTTCCAGATGATTCTAAATTATTAAAGTTATAATTATTCATTTAGTTAAGAAATGGCACCTAATGTCTACCTCTAGTAGCAAATTATTTAATATTAATCAATAAATTAGCATAAGATTAATAATAAGATAAATTAGCCTGATTATTTAAGGTGATCATTTGGTTATGTTTCTATATACATATCGGGCTTTGTGATGTTTGATATACTTATATAAATAATTAATACTTAATATTAATTATTTAAATAGATAGTTTTAAATAAGTTAGACCGTAATATTTGTTAAATTCTTCTTTAAGCACAACTAAAAAACATCCAGCAATGAATTGCGTAACTTCCCTGGAAAAAAACATTAAGACACATTTGCGCAAAGTTAATATTGTGTGTGGCACAATTTGTTATGAGATTTTATTTTAAAAATTTTTATATTATTATTGCTATAAAATAAAAAAGCTTAATTTTGAGGATAGAGATGAGTTTTATAAATTGTAAATGCTAATAATGAGTAAAATTTTCATTCATTTTCACTCCACCTGGAATATGACACATGACCCCTTTATCTCCTCAACCTCTTGAACTTTAACAACCAAAATTTAATAGCATCAATACCCTTACATGCAAATTATCATGCCAATTTAAAGTTAAATATTAAATGATCCTCTGATATATTTCAATAATTAAATTTATGTTTATATAACTTTTAGGAATGGTGAAAACTGATTTTAGTTTAAGCCAGGATGATCCAGCCAACAGTTTTTAGGTCACATCTAGCCCAGTCTTGGTAGATAATTATCTCATGTCGTTGTCAGAGCCAGTTCTGATAGGTGTGCGGTGCATGCATGCGCGCAGGTGGCCAAATTATTAGGATGGCCGATGGTGCACCTTAAAATATAAAATTCAAATATAATTTAATATTATTTTAATCTAGTGGTCAACAATGAAACAGATTGATGTTTGCATGACAACTGATGACATAAAATTAGTATAGCTGAGCAATTAATGCATATGAGTAATGCCAAAGCATGTTAAGTGTTTTGCATCAGAAAACTTAAAAGTGCAAGCAACAGGTGATGAGGATTTATCCTTTGAACCAGAGAAAATTCATCAGTGGGAATTTCATAACCACTATGATTGTTTCTTGCTTTAAATCACGTATAAAGTACAAAAACTTGAAGTTCGTAAACTTTTAAAGTTTGCAAACTCCAAGCTTTATTTATGTTAATGTCTTATGATTAAGTTTAAGGTTACGCTTACGTAACTCATTGTGAGTGGTTGCATTAAATAACATGTGTATAAAAATTACTTTTATCAAAGGATAGTTTGATTTGAATAAAATGAGAATAAATATAACTTATATCAAATATTTTAATAGATTTTTTACCCCTGTCAACTATATGAAACTATACTAAAACATACCAGTAAGATTTCATGGATTGGGTTAGGTTATGAATTTAGTCACGATCAGCATTGATAGGGGTGGCCAAATATCTGTAGCACGTAGGCGCCTAACAGTCTAAAACCAGCCCCGGTCATTGTTATTTGTTAATTGTAGCATTTTTTAGTTTTCTTCTGTCCAAACTTTGTCACGGTCCACTTTTGTACGTGTTAAAATTTGATACTTTTTAAAGCATTTTAACCAAATTTTCTGAAACTTTCATTGTTGACAAAATTTTTTGCTATTGTAGAACCATGTTGCACTTATTCCAGGTTTTGTCTTCAAATTGAAAATTAAGCAGTGCCTGTCGTTTTTCTTTTCTTCTATTGATCAATAAACAAACTGAAAACCACCAAAAAATTAACTATCTTTGATGTGTTTTTTAATCTGTATTAAATTTAGCATTTTTGTTATGCTTTGTAAATGTGGAGATGGCACATTTCTATATAACCCCATATCTCCCCATGACAAAAATAATCACACAAAAAAAGTCTTTAAAAATGTAGGCTTCCTATAGTAAAAACAATACAAATTTCAACTATATATCGCATATTGTTTCTAAGATATTAAAAAAAGAAAATAAAACATTTTTTGTATCCCTTTAACCCCTGTTTATCTCAAAAATTAGCTTTTTTTCTTAATTACACTTATTATTTGATGTTCTATTACCTGAAATATAGCCAGTCTTATATATGTCATATTAGATGTTTTGTTTGGTCCTCATGCTATATACTCAACAATTGTAAATAAATTTCAGTATGATCGCAAATGTTATAAGAACATGCAAAAAGTACATTTTGAAAAAGATAATTACCATAATTAAAATTAAACTCTCTTCATGAATATGGTAATAAATGAATTTAACTTGCGTAGAGATTTAGAAATTCTTTACATTAATAATGCTGTTAAATGGCAATTTTTCAGTTGTTTGGGTTATATTCTTAATTAATGATCATTTAAATTATAAACTATAAACTATAATCAATTGTAAAGAAATGAATGGATTATGAATAAACAATAATTTATTTATTATTTTTTTTTTTCAAGATATTGACGAATGTAACGTTGATAATGGTGGATGCTCCGAAATTTGTAGTAATACGCCGGGAAGTTTTTACTGTAGCTGTCCCGATGGTTTTAAATTACACGATGACGGAAGTAGTTGTAACGGTATGTACAAATCTAATTTGTTAAAAGTGAAACTTTACGAACTGATAAACCAATATAAAAATATAGAAATGTTTCACTTTGTAGTTTCTTTTAATTAGAGTAAAAAGTATTAATTTGGTTTTATTTGTATATGGTAATGTGACACTTGGGTGGTCTGTTGGAGGGATGCCTCTCAGGAGGTCTTTTATGGGAAACTAGCTCCTTTATAACTGTTACTAATAGAAAGGCTGCGACTCAGAGTACTGCCGTTGTGAGAGTTCAAGAATTTCCAAATGACTCGAGAATTTCCGATTGAAAATTCAAAAGTTTGATGCATTATCATCTGTGCCTGTTTTTGTGTAATTTAAAAAAGAAATCTGTGATAAAACAACATCTGCAAAACATATTAAAGAAGAAAATTGATTACACCAAACATTGTCTTGTAATTATCACTCCCAAAATCTACAGATTTATTTGAAAGTCTTGATTGTTCAGTATCTCACTGACAGTAGAAATAGTTACTACTGTGATCTGTTTCATTGGGTTTGCTCTCAACATTAACCACTAATTTGCAAACCTGTTCTTGTAGTGAAAACAGTGGATAAGACCTTGGAAACATCTTTATCCTACAATGGATGCTAGTATATAAGAAAACACTAATAAAAGGAATGTCTGCAAAAGTTTTTATTAAAACTTGTAATGAATGGAGCTACCACAATGTACTATTGTTTCTGTTTTTGTTCTAACACATTAGTTGCTATTTTCAAATCAAAATTTATTTTGGCAATCCTGATGTACAGTACAGTACAATCTCCAAGGAACTATAACTGCTATTACGTGCAACAAGAATACCTTCAGTGGCACTTACGTTGTCCCTTCCTTGATGAAGTTTTTGTAGAAACAAATCAAGAACTATTTTCCTGACAAACTTGCCCCATAACACACTTCAAATATTTCTCATCAATATGCGATTTTAAGTCTCGCATTCTATATATGTATATTCATAGACTATAAGCAATGCATTAGGCTTCCCATTCTTCTCTTCCAGGAAGAAAACATGGGTATTTTTTTATTGTTGAGGGGCCACATAACTCTGACAACAGCAGCAGGCTGGAGCAATTTAATATTTGTTTAATTTCTTTAAATATCATTATTCAAAGTCTAAAACTTTGGCACGCGTAAACATCTTTAAAGTCAAGTATGCTTGTTTTGTGTCGCGTGAGCTTGAAAAGGTTTGCCATCCCCGAACTAGATATACAAATTAGTTTATAACTCGATAATATATTGCACCGAATTACGAGAACTTTGATAATTTGATTTCACGACATTAATCTTTAATCGATTTTTTAGATGTCGACGAATGTGCCTTAAATAAAGGTGGATGTCATCAAGGTTGTATTAATACAGTGGGAAGTTTTCAATGCACGTGTAGCAGTGGATATGTTCTATCAGAAAATAATTCATATGTATGCACAGGTAAGAAAAATATATTATTTAATTTTTATTTTCATATCATATCATCAATATTCTTGCATATTATTCTCAAAAACTCATTACTCTCAACGTGATAATTGCTAATTGATAATCACACAGATAGGAGAAGGAATACATCACATTGTTAAGTAATAATAATTCAATAAATAAATGATTTAATTTATTAGATTCTGTAATTATTCTAACGTAAGATCAAAATATTTAGACTTTATAAACAAGTCATCATTGTTTCGTTCCACTGTGATAATCATTGATTATCTTGAGTTTATGGATGCTTATATTAGTATAAAAATAAACCCAAATTTAGATTAAAGCCAAACAATTGCCAGATTATGTCAGGCTGTATTAATGCTACTATTAATAATTAAATGTTAAGTAATTTGGCCTAGAGGTTGTTACGTGCTAGGTGCCATTCTGTGATAAATTTAAATTAAAAAATATTAATTTAGAAAGTTCTGGAAGAAATGAATCGGTCCGAAGCGGGAAGCGAATCTGCAACTCCCGCATAACGTGTTGTTGTGTTATTAATTATGCTACCCGGACCTCCGTCCATTTTTCACCTCCAGTACTACTAATTTAGATATAACCATACCGGGGACAATTCGGCTTGCATGGCCTATAATTCCCAGTATGGCATTCTGTTCAGCTATCACTTTACCACAGCACGGTGTATATATGCAAATAAAAACATCCGTAAACCCAATTACTAGATTAAAGCCAAACAATTACCAGATTATATTGGGATATATTAGTTATAATTATTAAAAGTGGCATTAATATAAACCTATATAATCTGGCAATCGTTTAGCTTTATTATTTTACTACTTAATGATAAAAATGATTTCAGATTGAATGATTTCCATCAGTTTAAAGTGCATATCAAAAATGAAATCTAATCAAATATTATGAATTTTGTTTTGGTAGATATTGACGAATGCCTGGAAAATACTCACGACTGTAGTCAAAACTGCGTGAATTACAACGGCGGATATTACTGTACGTGTAAAAATGGATATCGCCTTTCTTTAGATCTGAAGTCGTGTGCCGGTAAGATTATTACAATTTACATTTCTTCTATAAAAATATTTTTGATAAGTGTTTAATTTTCAAACTTCTGTTAAATTATTATTTAATGTATTAGCCTCTGATATAGAGAATTTTAATTATACTTAAGATTGAGGTTTGTGTAATTTATTGACGATATATTTATATCCAGCAGATGCTTACACATTTAAGAAATTAAATATTAAAATAATACATGATAAGCATGTGATTTGATTTATGATAAAAGACGTTTCTTTGAGCTTAACTCTTCCTTCTCTTGATCTTTCCTCTTCACTAAGGACAGGTTGTGGGAGGTCAAAGGTTCGGCTACCTGCAACCGACCGTAATTCTTTGATCTTAAATTGTCACATAACTACTATTCTCCTACATCTTATGACATATTTCAAATGCTAATGCAATTGTTTTGTAGATAATTATATTCTAAATACCAATACAAAGGAATTAGCATAGTCATAAAAAATTTATTTATTTATTGATAATAGGTACAGTAATTTATATATAATTGAAACACATACCAATTAAATTTGTATTTATGTACTAGCTTTAATTAATAATTTATTATCCTCCATAAGAAATAACTTGTCCGGAAATACCCCAACCTCATCACGGAAGATTCAAGTGTAGCGGCTCCTCGAGCAAAGACGTAAAAGTGGTAAATACAACCTGTCAAATTAATTGTAACAAAGGATTTAAAGCGAGAGGTTTGAAAGAAATCAAGTGCGGATTAAATGGCAAATGGACAGGACAGTTACCCACGTGCGAATGTGAGCGAAATTTGCCTATTATATTTTAACATTGGTTAACGTATATTACAATATTTAATAATTTTGTAGCAAAGTTTTGTCCCGCCGTCAAAAAACCCAAATTTGGCAACGTTAGTCCACCGAGTTGTTTGGATGGTTCGAGTACGGTATCGCAGAAATGTTATTTCATCTGCGACGCAGGATATAGATTGGTTGGCCACGCTTTTTTAAGATGCGATAAAAATCTGGAATGGAAACCGAAAACCCAAAGTGTCAAATGTGTAAAAAGTAAGTATATTATCAATACTGTGCTAAATTTTTTAAAATTTATTAACTACTGTAATTTTGTGCATACAACGTGCAACAGTGTATCTTCCACAAGAAATTGCCAGAATGAAATTAAAACTGCATCTCCTTTTCAAAACACAGATAATCCTCAGTTTGTAGATATCAATAACAAAATGTTAAATGTAAATTCATTTTATACTTTTGAAATTGTAATTTTTAATAATTTATTTTGAGAAATACGTTTTCTCGTTTAAATATGCCATAAAAAAACTGCATAGTTACATTTCTAGTTTGTTAAGTGCTTGCACAGGAATTAATTTTGAGGTTTATTTAATGTAGATGAACCCTATTGCATCTACTTATTACTTTAATTTCATTTAAACAATAAACAAGCAAAAATATATCTGATTTAGCTCTTGTTTTGGCCATGCTTCTCCCTTCCATTCTGGCTATCGAACTTACCACTGTCCTGTAAAAAAGAATTAATTTAGAACAGATGAGAGTTTTGGTTAGGACAATTTCTTGTGAAAAAGAAAAACTGTTAGATTAAATGCCAGACTTTGGTATTTGTTTCTGCACGTGAATTAACAGATATCTATTTGTGGTTATTCAAATTTTTTTAAGAAATTGAGGGAGCATACTGACATGTCTTTGTTAGAATTATGTATGCATTACAGTATTTACAACAATATACTAAAGCAAAACCGAGAAAAAAAATAATTAAAATATCACAAAGCTATAAAATTGTTTTTGTTTTCCTTTTCCGTCATTACAAACACCGGTGACGGAGGACGTTTTTCCATTTTTATTTTTCTTTTTCTTTTTGCAGAGGCACGGCCTCAAATAAAAGGTAAGTGAAAATTGTTTTGGACCATTACTGGTGTTTGTAAGGAGAGAAAGGAAAACAAAGGCAATTCTATAGCTTTGTGATATTTTATTTTAATGTAAAATCATCGGCCAAGTTTTTAATTTTATTCAGAAGCAAATAAATTTGTTTGCATAAAATATTTGTAACTTAACAATTAGTTATAAATGATTTTTAGCACCAAGATTGCTACTTGATTATCATCAATGTATAGCAATTAAAAACATCTCTGAATATAATATATTTTTCCCAGTTAATTTCCAATTATGCAATTGGTTTTATAGATGAATTAGAACCGTTCATTCAATGTCCTGCCGATATTTCCGTCGCTCTGGAGCCTCAGCAGTCCAAACATCACGTCAAAATTCCCGAGCCTAAGTCTAATATGGATGCCAAACACATCAAAGTATTTCCGACTTGGGCGGAACAACTGGAAGGGGATTTTCCATACGGAAATACCGAAATTACTTTTATAGCTTATCATCCTTCGAAAAATTTGACTGCAACCTGCAGAATGACTGTTAATATATTAGGTAATGTTTTCATTTTATTTTTACAACTTAGAGTTTATAACAATTAACATTTAGAATATTTAAATGTGGGATAAGATATGTTACATAAATTTTTAATAACTGGAATTGCTTCTAAGAACGGCTTGCAAAATATTGGATCCTATCTATTCAGATGAATAACAGGATATTGAGTGTCATTAATACAAATAAATCAATGGACAAGGCAGTAAAAGCACTAAACTGCTATTCTGAGGATCAGGTTTGAGTTTGGATGGGCAATTTCCTTCACCACTTGGCCAAATGCATGATAGATATGGAAAAAAAAAAGGTTCTCTTAGTACCTGTAGAAAATGCCATGCTGAAAATCTTATTTTTTACTTTTAATTTAATTGTTAACATCAATATTGTGATAATTAACAGGCAGGTTATTATTGATCGTGTGACAAAGTTGCCTATCCAGCATCTTATTTCCTGAGTTGAACCCTCTTTTTAAGTGTGTCTATTTTGGACAAGTAAACTTGCAGTCCAAACAATTGTCATGCATCGACCATACACATCAATGATAGGTGCTTTCACTATACTATTTTATAATTGTGCCAGTCCAAACGATATATGCTAACAATAATCATTTAGTTTGCACTCATTTTTAAAACACTTTTTCTCACTAAAATTAACTCTGAAGTTTTTTGTATTAGTATTAATTGGTTTCTTATTCAAAGTATTATCAGATTACAACCGTCTGTTATTTTGTGTAATTTTAGTAGTAGTGTTGTCAATAAAATAGCAATACTATATATTTACGTATTTATTAGCAGTTTTGAGGTCTCATCTTCAGAATCTGCCCAAAAAACACTGCTAAGCTGTATTAGTGTGAATAACCCAATGTGAGAACAGGGATTCTGGGTTATTTACCATCCTGTATGTGAAAAAGGGAAGAAGATTATTCATAAAAATCTTCTCGTCAGTCCTAACACTAGTTAGGATAATTTAATTGTGGGTTAAGATAAATTAAACTAGTCATTTCCTATCTTCCGAGTGGCCAAAGATATAATACTTGAGTGGAATTTTAGGAGGGTTTATTAAATACAAAAATTATTAATTGGAATACATGGTTCGTGGGTGATACAATGGAGTTAGGCATAAGAAATGACATATTCCTAACATATTGTATTTATCTATCTATTTATTAAAAAATAATTATAGTTAACACACTCCTTTATGTGTAAATCATAAATAAAAACTAAGAACAAAATAAGTAGTGTCGATATGAATACAAATTAAGGGTTAGATTAGAAATCCTCTCAACTAATCTGGTGAGAGAGTTTACATAACAATATCTTATTACCTGACATTCACATACATTTGAGGTGGAGGGTGGAGAGGATGATTAAAGCCTTGATCACTGCTCTCATTTTGATACTCTTATGCAAGTTGAAAGGTGACCTTTCACCTTTTATACTAACTTTCATCCAATAGAATCATTGGAACATCATGCAACACTTCTGACACGAGGAGGAAGTTGGGCAGTCTTGCAGATAGTTTGAGTGCGACATCTCGCTTGTCATCCTTTTAGGAGGAATTAAACTCTTTTTCTCTGTGAGTCAGAGGAAGCATTCCTTTTTACAAACTTAATGTTATATCAGAATTTTTCTAATTTTAAAACATTATTTTAAACAAATTTGTTAAAATATTTCCCTTAAACTCTAGATAATCACACTAATATTAAAACTTTAATTTGAAATAGATGAAGAAGCTCCAGTCGTAAGAGGATGTCCGGGGACGATAGAAGTCTATTCGGAATCGATAGAACCCGTCGAAGTCTTCTGGAAAGAACCAACCTTCTCGGATAACGTGCGAATAGATTCCATTTCGAAAACACAGGTGAATAAGCTTTAGTTGCTGTTATTGCTTGATTTATAAATTGTAACTCTTTAATCTAAAAAAATTATTTAAGAGAAATTGCCATCCAAATTAAATTTAACAGAAGTGGAATTTCACTTTTATATCTATCTGTGCCTTAGGATGGCCCATTAACTGGATCAAATGCATTGGGTAAAGTTGGAGAAATGCTATTGTTACTGAACTAATCAATGCACTTTAGTTCATTAATCTTTGAACTAGCCACCATAGTTATGAAATTTACATGGAATAGTGTTAAAGTTTACTGAAAAGTAACGTTCAATATAAATTGTTGTGTATTTTTTAAAATTTATATCAATGATAGTTTATCTCTGAAAATGATACAGTACTCAATGACCGCAAAGAGTAAATATTAGGTTTGAAACAAAGTATTAAAATACAGGTTGACTGCTGATTTTCCAATACCTCTCTTAATCTGGACATACTTGTGTGCATTCACTTGAACAGTCTACACCAGTGTTTTTCAACCTGTGGGTCGTGACCCCCAGGGGGGTTGCAAAGCCATACACGGGGGATTGCGGGTAGAAGAAAAAGACAAGTGTTTGTAGTTTTTTTAATGTAGTGTAGGACCTACAATTTCAGTGAGAATTACAGCCCACCCCAGAAAATGATAGTAGAAAAAGTGTTGAGCTGATTTGCAAAAGCAAATAAATAGTAGAAAAGTAGAAGCTGAAAATTCGGATTAAAAAAAAAAAGTCAACAGCTCCCTGCGCCCAATGTTATAATTAAAGGAAGTTTCATACTTTGTGTGTTAAGTTATTGTCGATTCTTCCGAAATTTTCATTTTAATCAACTATAATTTGTCTCAACAGAAAGAAAATTAAATACATAGTTTTTAAAATCACTGATATAGTTTTAATATGGCCCTAGGGGTTTGCATATTCAAGAAGGTTGAAAAACACTGGTCTTCACAGATGGCAAATCTTTTGAGAGCATAATTATGTTTAAAAATGTTTATGCATGCTAAAGTTTTAAATTTTGAATAACACTATTTAAAGAAATGAAAGGAATATGTTTTAATTAGAGTAAATTTATCAGAGTTTTTCATCAGTTTCTTTAAACTGGTAAACAGAGATATACAATATGTTGAATGCCATGTGATTTCTCCCAATGTACTATACGTTTTCTTTTTAAGTAGAATGGGTGGCAAAGACTTCATTTACCAAGTTGAGTTACACATCCATTCTCAGTAGTCAAGTGAAATATTGAAAACTCATTCCATAAAAAGAAATTCGGATTTGATATTATGCTTTGGATAAAGAAGTTTACTAATTTCTAATTTACTACTAGAGTAAGATTATTGAAATTTAAATCACATTTGGTTTTAGTTTGGCAAACATTTATGGACTTTTTACCCACCCTACATCAAAGTGTTAAAACATTCATTTAAAAAAATGAAAGAAAGAATTATTGGAATGTGGTTTGTATTTGTTGGCAGGGAAAAATTAATTCCAAAAATCACCAAAAGCTGGCATTGATATACAAAAGGTCACGTATAGACGTGCAAATGACTAAGAAAATGAGTTTTGATGTGATTTCCAATCTCGGTGGTATTTAAATTCCCATGTGTTTCGATCAGGTTTTTCTACATTGTTATAATTGAAAAAATGCTATTCACTATAAAGGTCCGTCCAGACATGCTGCATCTGAAGACATTGTTACACACTATGATGGAGGCTGTGTCAAACACTTGTATAACAAACAGATTGCATCTCTAATACATGAAAGTGACATACCAAGCAACTTTCAAAGTGATTTTTGGAACTCATTTTTCCCCTTTAATTAACAAAAACCTCCCTTGATTATCATGCAAACCACATTTTATTCCAATGAACATTCATATAAAATGAAAGAATTAAGTTTTTACAGACTTATTTAAATACACGGTTGTCAAAAAAAAGAAATAGTATTTATTAATGTTTATAAAATGTATACTATGCTATTTGATTAAACTTTTATCCGTGGTTACAAAGAACACTTATTTTTCTTACTAATCTATATTTACATATTTTATAAAATATGTATTCTAGCTCCTCGTTTATTCCAATATTTAGACTCCTGGAAGTAAATTTGGTGTGGGAGAACACACGGTTCATTATACTGCTAGAGATCCCGCAGGAAGTCTTGCCACCTGCATCTTTACCGTAAACGTATTGCGTAAGTACACAAGTATTCAATAACTTTTAGTTTAAAAGTTTGTGATTTTTATGTTAAATTTATATTTACCAACAAAGCATGTCGTAAGTGGGCACTATTTGACAAGATGTATTTGTCCTCCGGCTCTTGCTCGGTAACATGTTTTGGCATTAAATTTGGCTTAAGTTCTTGTCTAGGATCTTACAAAAGTTGCGTGCACTGAAATAATGCCTTTAATTTGTTTGAGATGAGTGGTTAAAGAGATTTGACTTGACTTTTGAGATGACATTTATGCTTGGTTCCAGATCAATCCAGTATAATAATTACATCTAATCAACCTCATAAATAAAGCATTAATGTGGTGTACCCAGAGGAGGCCAAGGGGCCATTGTACCCCAAAGAAAAAGGGAAACAAACAATAGAAATAGAACACAAGACATACAATTTTCTTACTGCTTATGAATTAGTAGTTACATGAGGTGGGAATTTTATTGAATTCACGTTAAAATTTTTTATCCATTCAACTCTGCTCCCCAAAATTAAATCGCAAGTGCACCGCTGATCAGATATACCAATTTCAAAATACTGTCACTAGGCTAGAACTTAAATCTGGTTTTATGTCATATACACCTTTCGACTGTTAAAAATTTTTGTACATATATGCTGTTGCAGGTCATGCATACAAAAATACAACATTCATATTGAAAATTAGTGATTTAGTATATGAAATCATGTAAAATTTGCATGAATTTAAAATGCAATCTAATTTGCATGTTTGTCTTGAAATGGTAAAGTGTATTGCAACTTCATTTTGCATGATAAGAAGTATTTAATATTGCATGCTTTGCCTTGCATGTCATTTATTTGATATTTTAGGTAGAGAATGTGGCGAGCCAAATGATATTCTGCATGGCGAAAAGAACTGCATGGAATTCGTAGGCGGTCAGTTGTGCTCGCCCGTGTGCGACGCGGGATATGCATTTTATTTTAACGTTTCCGAATTTTACATGTGTGGGCTGGACGGAATTTGGTTACCCAGCAAGGACATCCCAGACTGTTTACGTAAGTTGAGCTCCGTAGAATTAAAACTATTAAAATAAAGTGCTTCCGAATAAATCTATTGGCTCGTTGCAGCTTCCATTTCCGAACCGGAAGATGGTTGTATGCCAGGGACAGAACTCCGTGAGGAAATTGATACCGATTCCAGGATATGTGGTAAATTATTTATTATTTCAATTAAATTTATCTAGAAATTACAGAACATATTTCTCACAAATTTAAACCAAATGTTTGTCATTCCTTAAAAAGACACAAGAGTATAGATAGCTCATTATTGGTTATCTATACTCTGGTTATTTGATGGCTTATGCAGAATGACTAAGCTCATTCTGCATTCATATTTTGGCTCCTATAAATTTTTGTTGTTTAACAGTGCTGTTGGTGACCTGTAATTACTTTGTCTTATGATAGTGGTAGGTGTACACTTCCTGTTTACTGTTTTTTTTTTTTTTATAGTAGTCAAGCTTTCTGTTTCATTTTTCTGTTGAATAGTTTCAAGAGTTTCTAGTTTTGGGAGGGAGTGAAGTCATGATGAAATGTCCTCATTTTTATTCAATTTTGCTAACCATTATTGTTCAGAGCAACAGCCTTTATTTTAGTATAGTTATCCTTGTGGATAAGTATGTTGCTAATGTACTAATCACATCATTAAATATATTTATGAAGAATGTCTTTTATATGAAAGATTGGTTGTATCGATGATGATACTCTCCAAATGGTCTTTGTAGTGTCAATTGTGTTTTCCGCCTACTTCTACATAATACAGAAAACTGTTCAGAAACAGTTGTCTACTAGCTCACAAGCCATTTTAATATATTCCTCTGAAGGTACCATGAACTCTCAGGTCTTCATTAAAGTCAACAGAGATTTTAGTGCATACTCAAACCTAATTATTTATTAACAGAATTTGTATTCAATTACACAAGGTTATCGAATATAAATTCTGTTGATTTATGATGACTGCTATTGACAGTTAGTATTCAGATATCCCAGGCAATGTAACCAGGACTAGTGATGTGGTATCACGATAAGTCACGTGCTGAACTTGTGTGAACTAGAATATGTAATAGATCTTTATTTAATGCCACAAAATTTGGTGGGAAGCCATCTTATGTAGTTTTTTCTTACTATTTAGATTACATCCATGTTCTCGTCAATTTGTGATTTTTATTGCTTTGTAAAACAAATTCTTTTAATTTCACACACGTGTTGTTCCTTTTGTTTCAAGCTTGGCAAGACTGCAACAGAAAAGAAAGTGGTTACAGGATATAAATGATCCTGAGACCAATCAACAATCGACTCAGTGGAAAAAACATGGCTCACACTAAGCGAGAATGCTCTTTTTTTCGATAGGGACGGAATAATTATTCCAGAATTTGTTCCACAAAGCCAAATTGTGAATCAAAAATTTTATATATGGATGTTTTGAAGTGCCTATGTGGACAGTGATTTGAGAACATTGTTAAGCACTTGCTGAAATTCTGCTTGAATGTCATCAATGTCAGAAAAAAAAAAAGAGTTCCAGGAATGTTTTGAAAACTGGAAAGAGCTCTGGAATCTATGTATAGCTGCAGAAAGAACTTATTTTGAAGGTGACAATTCTCAATAAATTAACATGTACATTGGACCAGTGCCAGAACTTTTTGACTGCTCGGAAGAGTTGTGTGAGAGAAGCAGCTTATGTCAGCCTTGAATTCTATGGCAAAGTATTCTTGTTAGGAACAAAGTAATAACTGCCTTTCTTGTTGCTCAGCACACCACCACTATAAGATATAGACCATTTCTACTCTGGCATCATGGGGACCTATAGGATGCCTGATTACTGATGGTTAAGTTAGGATACATTTATTAACCAACATATACTAATTTACAAAGAAAAACATCTGGCAAAGAACTTGAACAATTTTCTGTTGGAATGAACTTTCTCAACACACTGGGTTGTATATACTCAAAATACACAACAACCGGCATGAAATTCTTCCGGGGGGGATCGGCGAACATTTTCAATGTCCCTTCTGGTCTCTTTTTCAGGCTTATTTTTATATCTTCCATTGTAACTGGATTCTTTAATTCTAATGTTTTTAAAAATTTGAAATTTTTTCAGAAAAAGACAAGTGGAAGGAATCCACGAGCTATTTGAAATATATTTTCTACCAATGGGGATTTGTTATGTGCACAATACCTTATTTAAATTTACCGTCTATGAGAATTGCCATGCTGTGCCATGCTGTAGAGAGATTCATTTCTTCTTGAAAATAATGCATGTGGATTTGCGGTCGGCTTTAAAGATTTCCATTGCTTCCAAAGTTCTTAGTTGCCCTTGATGTTGGGTGGTGCGGATAACATGTGCTTCGTCGAAGATAGGTGTGATGCCCAGGTTTGTTGCATATGTAGATAGGGCTGTCATACATTTATTATGAGTGATGTCGGATTTATGCTCTTTTATTCTTGTGGAGATTTCTTAAGGAGATACCTTTGTGCAATTGGGAATATCTCCTTAAGAAATCTCCACAAGAATAAAAGAGCATAAATCCTACATCACTCATAATAAATGTATGACAGCCCTATCTACATATGCAACAAACCTGGGCATCACACCTATCTTCGACGAAGCACATGTTATCCGCACCACCCAACATCAAGGGCAACTAAGAACTTTGGAAGCAATGGAAATCTTTAAAGCCGACCACAAATCCACATGCATTATTTTCAAGAAGAAATGAATCTCTCTACAGCATGGCAATTCTCATAGACGGTAAATTTAAATAAGGTATTGTGCACATAACAAATCCCCATTGGTAAAAATATATTTCAAATAGCTCATGGATTCCTTCCACTTGTCTTTTTCTGAAAAAATTTCAAATTTTTATAAACATTCGAATTAAAGAATCCAGTTACAATGGAAGATATAAAAACAAGCCTAAAGAAGAGCCCAAGAGGGGGCATCAAAAACGTTTGCACCAGTTATTGGTTATTTGTAGGTTGTTGTGTATTTTCTATTGAATAATGTCAATATACCTATTCCAAAGCCAGTTGTATCCTTAATATTACTTTGGGAAATGTATCAATAGAACTCTGAAGCTAATTTTCCAGGCAGTCATGCTTCAGATGGCACTTACTGCTATGTTCTTGGTAATCCTTGTAGGCAGCAGGGTAGTTAGAAGCTATCTAATCCTATAATAATCCATTGTTTTTGCTTATAAACTCTAGTGTGTATCTATAACCTCAACCTACAACTAAATTCTCTTTTCTAAGTTATCTATCTTCATAGGTAGTTCTTTAGCTTTATAGCAGCCACAAGACTAAAAACAATATTCTGTCTGTCTGCACTATTCGATCTCTCTATGGTTTATATATCAAGCAATTTTGTGAGACTACTCCACAGATAGCTAAAGATGGGGTTCCTCATGCTTGACAGTGCATCCCTCTGGGCATAGGAAATTTAGTTTATGTAGGAGAGGGAAAAGAACCAAACACTTTATATATGGCTTTCTGCCACCTATCAAAGAATGGGCAAGGGAAGTGTATGAGACCCAAGTGCACAAAGCCGTATAGATAAACCTCACGCATATGTTATATTCATAGTTGAATTTGTCCTTAAAATCAGATTTTTTTTGTTTAATTAGAATTTAATAGTGATATATCTTGTACTGAACTATGTAGTTAAAATATATCACATTTCAATATTACTTAAAAGCACATGAATTGTGTTTGTCTTTTGTATTAGTGGCCTGCCCACCAGGACTGTACTGGGAGATTAAGGTATCCTCCTGTATTCCATGTCCCGAGGGATTTTTTCAGGACGAATACGGACAGACTGCGTGCAAAGCTTGTACCGCAGACGCCGAAAGTCTGGAATTATGCGAGAACCTGGCCACATAATTTTTAATTATTGTTTATAAATGTATACTGTTTTGTATATGTATGTATGATATAAAATAATTTACACAGAAATGTTGACTTGCTTACTGTGAAACTAAAAGAATTCATCTCAAATATAAAAAAAATATTAGAAATTTCAGTATCTTAACAATGAGAAAGCCACGTTTATGAATAGAATATGGTATTGACAAAGGAACAACGTTTATGTACAAGATTTCAAATAGCCTGTCAAACTATGTTTTGAAGATATCATACAAGTGATTAATTCATGCATTCTCTTCATAGCTTCAAAGGGCAATACAATGTATTCTTGGGTATGTTATCAATTGCATAATGGATTTGTGATATTTTGTAAACAAAGTGATATATGAATATTGCCTGCAAAACATTGAAATGCTTAAGGCATTCATTGTCGTGCAATCAATAACATACCTAACACTGCTCTTTGCGTAGCGTACTTTAAGAATGCAAAGTGTATTTGCACGATTTCATCTTTAAAACAAATGGCAAACTATGTAATTTGAAATCTTATACATGAAAATTCATTTTAAAATATTCAAAAGTTAAAAACTATATTTAAAATTGTCCATCATAAATGGGAAATGAAGATTGTATTATTGAATTGAATACCTATATAAAAATACAAAAATATTTCTAAATGTTGGAGAGCTCCAATGTTTTTTTCCAGCTATTCTGCTCAGATAATGTGTGTGGCTAAACTAGATATGTAGTCTTGCCTATGAAGCTAACAGGTTATGGGTGCAGTTTTATGTGAAAGTGGCGAAAGAAAATAAAGGTCTCAGTAAGTAATGAAAACTCTGCCACCGACAGAAATGTCGGTTATGGAAAATCGAAACCCGTATAACAAAAATGAAACAGGAGAGTAGAAAGCAAATGACAATAAAATGCAGGGAGTGTACTATTTGTCCAAACATATACACACAATCTTTTTATCTTCTAAGTAAAAGTTTTGGCAAGAGATAAGTGAGAAGATGCTTTTAAAAAGATACACAAATGAACTAACCTCGGATAAAGTTATACCAATCAAAGCATAATAAGAATAAAGAGATGCAATAATATGTTTGAGGTACCCAAAACTTCATGGTTATCAGACTTGGTTACAAAACACTTTGTATTTGATGTCCAAAATGAATTTTCCAGAAAGAGAAGTTTTACTTTTTTCAAACTTGAATGTCTGTAACTCAATGGAACAGTAAGTTATTAACAAATACAAAAACAAGAGAGTGAGTGAGGAATACAGAACAAAAACACTTGTCACAGTAGTCAATGCTTGTTGAATTTGTTGAATATTCGTTTTCCAATTCACTATTAAGTGGAGAAGTTAAAATGTAACTTTCTTTCTCTACAATGATGCAGCAATATAGCAAAGAAACATTGTAACTGAATAGAAAAAATTATCAATGACCTATATAAACTAAAATGTAAACAGATAGATACTGTGGCAAGATTTGAAGCACATGTTATCTGTTTACATTGATTGATAAATATGATAAAATGAACTGGATAAAAAGGAACTTCCTAAAGCTCTCAGCTGGACATATAGCTAATCTTACACAGTCACTTTTATCCATCTCTATCAAAATCCACGATCACAGTGCGTTTAGAGGTCCAAACAAGTGGGAACCGGTGGGAGCGAAGTCAATGATCGACCACCATATTATTGCAGTTTTTCTTCCAGACCCTAACCATTTCTTTCATGAGTGGGTCTTCCTTTAAGCCTTTCATTTAGATGATGAGTTGGGAGAAAAATAATTTTGGTTTGAAATTTAAAACCTTTTATTTAAAGAAAATACAATATTCTTGTAACAGTATCTCACAATAGGAATAAAAGTAAAAATATTTTTGGAATGATAAAAGAAATATCATCACAATTTAAACCATTTAAACATTTTTCCAGAATTTAATATATACACATTTAATTTATAAAAGTTATCAACATTTAAAATTTAAATCTACCTGTACCAAAAAGTTATATGTGTCCTTTGCCGTTATTCGTTGCCATTCTTCCTACCCTTTTCGTTCTTGGGTGTGTGAATTCTTCGCAACTTCCATAATTTTTTGATGCTGGAAGGAGTTTTGAAGTTAAATCTACGATGGGTGTTCGGGGTGGCCGTCGGATTGTTTTCCTTGTTTGACAAGATCCTCTTTCTTGGCGTCGGCGTCGCCTTGGAGGAGGATTCTTCGTTCTTCCTTCCCGGAGTAGGAGGGCCAGGTTTATGATAGGTAGAAGGGTGAATGGTGTATTTTGCCTGCTGAAATAATTTATTCTTAATTTTGGTTTAAGAATATTAGCTTAGAAGAACAAATTTTGCATGTTCTTTATGGAAATAAAATATTTTAAAATTGTTTTCGTCAAATTAAGTTTCTAAAAACTACTTAGAACTGTCTAGCATTTTTTTAAAAATTAAGCCTTAATTTTCAATTTAATCATTTCTAAATAAAATTAAGAAGTGTACAATAACCCAATGCTAGTAAATATACCGTATTTACTCGCACATAAGACAATCTTGCATATAGGACGAGGTGCGACTTTAAAGATCAAAATAAAGAAAATTAGATTTATTAATGCATTTTAAATTTTGATATAAAATTAGAATTGTAAGTGATTTTTGCAGGACAATGTATGCATTTACATGCATTTAAGGAAAAATTTTGTAAAAGCAACAACATAATTTGTTCATGTAAAGCTGGACAATCGGAAATTTTTTTGCCAATTCTTAACAGTCAAATCCACTCTACGTTGATTACACTTATGAGTTTCTTTGAATTCTGATTTCCAAATAATCATCTGCTTTCACCTGGCAATAAATTTAAACTTATATCGGGATTTTAGAATTCAACTCAAAAGCTTTGCTTTTCCTATTGCTATTCAAGGATTCAAATGACCCAGATAAAATACTTTTGTTTTTAAACATAGAGCGAGCATCAGGTTAAAAATGTGAATACATAGTTCACTGCAAAAATGCAAAGCATCCTTCACTTGCACGTATAGGATGACCTAGGCTTTTGATTCAGTGAAAAATGAATAAAAACCTCGTCTTATACGCGAGTAAATATGGTATTATGTTTTGATGACTTGCATATAAAGAAATAAAATCGGACACAAAAGATTGGGGTTGAATCCAGTCCCGATCCTCAATTTATCATAGATTATTCGGTTAATGCATCATTCTCCATTTACCATCCTTGGCAGCCAACCCTACCATGGATTAGATGAAACTGTAATGAGTAAAATTGCAGCCAGATGTATAGTTTTTAATGCATCAGTGTCTTGCGTCAACAAAATTCGGTTACTTTTGAAATAACCTGAAAGCCAAGTCAAGCATATTTTTCACACATTCAATCAGTTTTTGCATTATGTGGGGAAAAAAAGATTTTTCTTTGATCAATTCTTGTTTAGCAGCGTGAACTTGAATATACAATAGTAAGTGTATTATGAAACTTTAGCATCAGTAGAGAGAACAGTCTTTTATTTTTGTATTGTGATAATGCAAGATCATGCTGCAGTAAGAAAATGATAAGGACATTTAAGTGGCAAGTTACTCTGCATTCTCCTTATGGCCCAGATCTGGTACAGTCACATTTTCGATTGCTTCTAAAAGTGAAACAGATGCAAAAAGATCAACAATGCTTTGATATCTGATGAAAAATTTCAAGCTGTCATAGGGAAATGGACTAAAGAACACAAAAGTGATTGAACATTTAGAAATTACAATAAATGATAATTATGTTGAAGAATGAATATGTATGTATTAAAAATAAAAAAAAGTTTTTACTATTTTTAAAACTAAATTATTCTACTTCTTCCCAAACTAATTTTATAACAACTGATAAATAAGATCTTAAACTCTCAAGCTGTAGAAGTAAACTTTTAAATGTAGGATTAATCTCACCCTATGCAACAGGTCACTATTATGCAACTAATAAATAAAAAGTTCACTCACTTTCGTAGATTTGGGATCTCTTTCTTCTATGACTTTACGTTTGGTGGACGACGATTTACTTCTGACTTGCCTGTCTTTGATGGGTATTTTGCTGTTTGAATCTACCACTTTTAAAATTTTGTCCTCGACCGCAGTCCCTTTTCTCAGAGCGTCGTCTGTAAATTCGGCAATGGAATGCATTTGAGTTTCAACAGGATAGGAACTTTGAAGATGGGGGAGGCAGAGCGTGTTTCGTCTTTGAAGCTCGCTGATCCTTACTAGCTGCTGATCTTTGATATTACACCGCCCGGCTTTCAAATCACTGAGGTGGCTCTGGTTCATGAATTCGCCTTCTTCGTCTTCGCACATAAACTGAGATCCTGTACCTGCTATGGAACATATGATTTTATTAAAACATTTTTATAAAGTGTGACAAGATAAACTGCATCAAAACTATATTAATATTCTATACAAGATGACCAGATGGTCAAGTGGCTAAGTTAGCATCCTAATACTCTGGTAAATCTGGGATTAAATCTAGATGGGTCAAAAAACCCCAGGAATTTTTCCAGGTAGTCCATCCGGATATTGGGCACCATCTATCATTACCTGGCCCCATTGCAGGCCTAGTCAAATGAGTAATGGACTTGCTGTCCCAAAAAGTACCAGCAATGGAACCAACCACAAAAATCAAACATATCACTTCATACCTTCATCTAATGTTCACTCCTTTTTATCATTGATGTAATATCAGTATCTTGAAACATTTATTTATCATAACACGTATAACAGTCTTCTTGCTCCACAATATAAATAACGTCATCTATTATAAACTAATAAACAATATTACCTGGAACTTGTCGATGTGGAGTAGATGCAAGATTTGAGCGATTATTTTCGGTATAGGAACTTGAAGACAAACTGTGATCGGCTCCAAACGTCGTCTCCAATTTTGTCGCTCTAAAATTAAAACAAATAAATAAAAATGAAATATTTCTATATTAAAGTGGTTAAATGTTTTCAAAATCAAACAATATACATTTATAAACACCCAGGCTTAATATACTGTATTTAGGTAACTGGACGATAATCATAATGTTAAGATTACTGACAATTATAAATTTATGCAATTCAGTTCATCCATTCTTCTTTTACTGTTTACGCTCGAAGATAAACATTACATTGTATCCATGTTATGCCAATTAGTTTGTTGAAGATCTCTTGTGCATCCACATATCAGAAGGCACAGTCTTAACGTGCAACAAGGAAGACATTCAAGCGGCCTCTACTTCTTTACAAGTAATTTTAAGTACTATTCATTGTTGTGAACCTTAACAGCATAGATTTTAGGCACACTCAAGTCTTCATAGAGGAAGTGAGTAGATGAAGGACTTGATAATGGACTATGCAGAAAAGTTAAGGTGTCACCATGTACTGTACATGTTTAAAATGTCTATGTTAGCTCTGATCAATTGGTATATACGAGGTCTGTTCAAAAAGTATCGGACCTTTGGTCGGCAAAAATACATTTATTGATTTTGAGGTACAAATTTTGATACAAATTGATTTTGAGGTACAAGGTTATCACGATGGAGCTGCCAAGTTTTGATCGACCATAGATCCAGTCGTTTGCATCGCATAGCATCACAAAGACGACGAAGGACCTCCTGGTAGTACTCCATTGCAATGTTTAGGCCCTGTGGTGCGTACTCAGGACACACCACCCGATGAGAGTCGAAAAAACTGTCAACATGACCTTGATATTGCTGCAGACCTGCCGCGTTTTTTCTGGCCTCGAGGATCGTCTCCGAAAGCCTGCTGAATCTTGCGAATGGTTTACGCTCGGGTATCGCCAAGGTTTTTGGCAAAATTTGATGTAATGCCGCTGCTCACGTTGTTCAGTCATTTTCCAACTTAGTGGAATCTGACGAGAGCTCGCTACATGTCCTCACTCATAGGCCGACGGCCAACGACTAACACTTCCTGCAGGCGGGAAAAAATTCAGGGCTGTGCATGACTGTCCCCTCCACAACTCCACCGAAAGAGGCCTCCCGCGCATCATTGGTTTACGTGGAAAAAATAAAAGTCCGATACTTTTTGAACAGACCTCGTATAATTCAAGGATGAGAAGATTTGGCTTGAATTTGCCATGCCAACTGGCACAAACAGACAGGAACATCCAACATATTCGGCCTTGCCGATCAGAATAGCGTGGACACGCCTTTAGATGTATTTTGTATATAAAATAGTTTAGGATTCTATTTTGTAACTAATATAGTATAACAACTTATTAAGTGATTCTCTAATCAAATTGCAGATTAATCAAAGTTATAAGAAATTTTGCAACTACAGTAATGGACAAAATATCCAGCTTCCAGAATTACCTACTATTTTGAAAATAGCTAGTTCTGGTGAGCTGCAGTACAGCTTTAGTTCACAAAATGGTTACTTTGTTTTGGTTCCATGTCATAAATGTTGCATAATGCCAGTTCCAGTATGTTTTTAATACACCATATGTCAGCAGTTTTATTCTTTCCGTCATTTAGCCCCTATCCAGAAACCCGTACCGCTTCTAGTCTCGAGCTTGTCAGATATTTGGCCTGGTATTGTATTATACAGCCATTAGCTGTATTAAATGTTGTCTTATATCATAAACAAGCACAAGTAGAATTTTAATATTTCATTTGGTATAATTTGAGTCAATATTTGTTGCTTTTAAAATAATGTAAATTATCTTAATATGGTAAAAACAATGTATACAAATTATTGCATTTTCAAAATAAAATTACAAACCTAATGTATTTTTAATCTAAGCAAACCCAACAATCCCATGATGATAAGAGTTCGGACAGTCAAACTTTTATTGTCATCTTTGTTACTTTTGTAAACATTTAGATAAGGTTACAAAAGTCCTAACATCGGATAATTGTCACTTATACAATAAATTAAAAAAATAATAATAACTATCAATTTAGTTTATATCCAGCTAAATTGTTCTTCATAATCATGTGCGAGATCCACGACTTTTATAGTTGTCGGGAAAAATTTGTAAACAACTCCGATGGAAAAAACCCGCTCTTGGTGAGAATTATATTGGAGGTCACCGTTTGTTTTCACAATTAGGTGGGAAAGTTGACACTTGGTTGATCGGAATGCACCGTTAATGTCAACAGAAGTCGATCACATGACTCCTTTCCCACAAAGACAGTATAAAAGCTCAAGCCCCTGGAAGCTCAAGGTGATCCAAAGGAAGTTNTTCCGGGGGGGATCGGCGAACATTTTCAATGTCCCTTCTGGTCTCTTTTTCAGGCTTATTTTTATATCTTCCATTGTAACTGGATTCTTTAATTCTAATGTTTTTAAAAATTTGAAATTTTTTCAGAAAAAGACAAGTGGAAGGAATCCACGAGCTATTTGAAATATATTTTCTACCAATGGGGATTTGTTATGTGCACAATACCTTATTTAAATTTACCGTCTATGAGAATTGCCATGCTGTGCCATGCTGTAGAGAGATTCATTTCTTCTTGAAAATAATGCATGTGGATTTGCGGTCGGCTTTAAAGATTTCCATTGCTTCCAAAGTTCTTAGTTGCCCTTGATGTTGGGTGGTGCGGATAACATGTGCTTCGTCGAAGATAGGTGTGATGCCCAGGTTTGTTGCATATGTAGATAGGGCTGTCATACATTTATTATGAGTGATGTCGGATTTATGCTCTTTTATTCTTGTGGAGATTTCTTAAGGAGATACCTTTGTGCAATTGGGAATATCTCCTTAAGAAATCTCCACAAGAATAAAAGAGCATAAATCCTACATCACTCATAATAAATGTATGACAGCCCTATCTACATATGCAACAAACCTGGGCATCACACCTATCTTCGACGAAGCACATGTTATCCGCACCACCCAACATCAAGGGCAACTAAGAACTTTGGAAGCAATGGAAATCTTTAAAGCCGACCACAAATCCACATGCATTATTTTCAAGAAGAAATGAATCTCTCTACAGCATGGCAATTCTCATAGACGGTAAATTTAAATAAGGTATTGTGCACATAACAAATCCCCATTGGTAAAAATATATTTCAAATAGCTCATGGATTCCTTCCACTTGTCTTTTTCTGAAAAAATTTCAAATTTTTATAAACATTCGAATTAAAGAATCCAGTTACAATGGAAGATATAAAAACAAGCCTAAAGAAGAGCCCAAGAGGGGGCATCAAAAACGTTTGCACCAGTTATTGGTTATTTGTAGGTTGTTGTGTATTTTCTATTGAATAATGTCAATATACCTATTCCAAAGCCAGTTGTATCCTTAATATTACTTTGGGAAATGTATCAATAGAACTCTGAAGCTAATTTTCCAGGCAGTCATGCTTCAGATGGCACTTACTGCTATGTTCTTGGTAATCCTTGTAGGCAGCAGGGTAGTTAGAAGCTATCTAATCCTATAATAATCCATTGTTTTTGCTTATAAACTCTAGTGTGTATCTATAACCTCAACCTACAACTAAATTCTCTTTTCTAAGTTATCTATCTTCATAGGTAGTTCTTTAGCTTTATAGCAGCCACAAGACTAAAAACAATATTCTGTCTGTCTGCACTATTCGATCTCTCTATGGTTTATATATCAAGCAATTTTGTGAGACTACTCCACAGATAGCTAAAGATGGGGTTCCTCATGCTTGACAGTGCATCCCTCTGGGCATAGGAAATTTAGTCTATGTAGGAGAGGGAAAAGAACCAAACACTTTATATATGGCTTTCTGCCACCTATCAAAGAATGGGCAAGGGAAGTGTATGAGACCCAAGTGCACAAAGCCGTATAGATAAACCTCACGCATATGTTATATTCATAGTTGAATTTGTCCTTAAAATCAGATTTTTTTTGTTTAATTAGAATTTAATAGTAATATATCTTGTACTGAACTATGTAGTTAAAATATATCACATTTCAATATTACTTAAAAGCACATGAATTGTGTTTGTCTTTTGTATTAGTGGCCTGCCCACCAGGACTGTACTGGGAGATTAAGGTATCCTCCTGTATTCCATGTCCCGAGGGATTTTTTCAGGACGAATACGGACAGACTGCGTGCAAAGCTTGTACCGCAGACGCCGAAAGTCTGGAATTATGCGAGAACCTGGCCACATAATTTTTAATTATTGTTTATAAATGTATACTGTTTTGTATATGTATGTATGTATGATATAAAATAATTTACACAGAAATGTTGACTTGCTTACTGTGAAACTAAAAGAATTCATCTCAAATATAAAAAAAATATTAGAAATTTCAGTATCTTAACAATGAGAAAGCCACGTTTATGAATAGAATATGGTATTGACAAAGGAACAACGTTTATGTACAAGATTTCAAATAGCATGTCAAACTATGTTTTGAAGATATCATACAAGTGATTAATTCATGCATTCTCTTCATAGCTTCAAAGGGCAATACAATGGATTTGTGATATTTTGTAAACAAAGTGATATATGAATATTGCCTGCAAAACATTGAAATGCTTAAGGCATTCATTGTCGTGCAATCAATAACATACCTAACACTGCTCTTTGCGTAGCGTACTTTAAGAATGCAAAGTGTATTTGCACGATTTCATCTTTAAAACAAATGGCAAACTATGTAATTTGAAATCTTATACATGAAAATTCATTTTAAAATATTCAAAAGTTAAAAACTATATTTAAAATTGTCCATCATAAATGGGAAATGAAGATTGTATTATTGAATTGAATACCTATATAAAAATACAAAAATATTTCTAAATGTTGGAGAGCTCCAATGTTTTTTTCCAGCTATTCTGCTCAGATAATGTGTGTGGCTAAACTAGATATGTAGTCTTGCCTATGAAGCTAACAGGTTATGGGTGCAGTTTTATGTGAAAGTGGCGAAAGAAAATAAAGGTCTCAGTAAGTAATGAAAACTCTGCCACCGACAGAAATGTCGGTTATGGAAAATCGAAACCCGTATAACAAAAATGAAACAGGAGAGTAGAAAGCAAATGACAATAAAATGCAGGGAGTGTACTATTTGTCCAAACATATACACACAATCTTTTTATCTTCTAAGTAAAAGTTTTGGCAAGAGATAAGTGAGAAGATGCTTTTAAAAAGATACACAAATGAACTAACCTCGGATAAAGTTATACCAATCAAAGCATAATAAGAATAAAGAGATGCAATAATATGTTTGAGGTACCCAAAACTTCATGGTTATCAGACTTGGTTACAAAACACTTTGTATTTGATGTCCAAAATGAATTTTCCAGAAAGAGAAGTTTTACTTTTTTCAAACTTGAATGTCTGTAACTCAATGGAACAGTAAGTTATTAACAAATACAAAAACAAGAGAGTGAGTGAGGAATACAGAACAAAAACACTTGTCACAGTAGTCAATGCTTGTTGAATTTGTTGAATATTCGTTTTCCAATTCACTATTAAGTGGAGAAGTTAAAATGTAACTTTCTTTCTCTACAATGATGCAGCAATATAGCAAAGAAACATTGTAACTGAATAGAAAAAATTATCAATGACCTATATAAACTAAAATGTAAACAGATAGATACTGTGGCAAGATTTGAAGCACATGTTATCTGTTTACATTGATTGATAAATATGATAAAATGAACTGGATAAAAAGGAACTTCCTAAAGCTCTCAGCTGGACATATAGCTAATCTTACACAGTCACTTTTATCCATCTCTATCAAAATCCACGATCACAGTGCGTTTAGAGGTCCAAACAAGTGGGAACCGGTGGGAGCGAAGTCAATGATCGACCACCATATTATTGCAGTTTTTCTTCCAGACCCTAACCATTTCTTTCATGAGTGGGTCTTCCTTTAAGCCTTTCATTTAGATGATGAGTTGGGAGAAAAATAATTTTGGTTTGAAATTTAAAACCTTTTATTTAAAGAAAATACAATATTCTTGTAACAGTATCTCACAATAGGAATAAAAGTAAAAATATTTTTGGAATGATAAAAGAAATATCATCACAATTTAAACCATTTAAACATTTTTCCAGAATTTAATATATACACATTTAATTTATAAAAGTTATCAACATTTAAAATTTAAATCTACCTGTACCAAAAAGTTATATGTGTCCTTTGCCGTTATTCGTTGCCATTCTTCCTACCCTTTTCGTTCTTGGGTGTGTGAATTCTTCGCAACTTCCATAATTTTTTGATGCTGGAAGGAGTTTTGAAGTTAAATCTACGATGGGTGTTCGGGGTGGCCGTCGGATTGTTTTCCTTGTTTGACAAGATCCTCTTTCTTGGCGTCGGCGTCGCCTTGGAGGAGGATTCTTCGTTCTTCCTTCCCGGAGTAGGAGGGCCAGGTTTATGATAGGTAGAAGGGTGAATGGTGTATTTTGCCTGCTGAAATAATTTATTCTTAATTTTGGTTTAAGAATATTAGCTTAGAAGAACAAATTTTGCATGTTCTTTATGGAAATAAAATATTTTAAAATTGTTTTCGTCAAATTAAGTTTCTAAAAACTACTTAGAACTGTCTAGCATTTTTTTAAAAATTAAGCCTTAATTTTCAATTTAATCATTTCTAAATAAAATTAAGAAGTGTACAATAACCCAATGCTAGTAAATATACCGTATTTACTCGCACATAAGACAATCTTGCATATAGGACGAGGTGCGACTTTAAAGATCAAAATAAAGAAAATTAGATTTATTAATGCATTTTAAATTTTGATATAAAATTAGAATTGTAAGTGATTTTTGCAGGACAATGTATGCATTTACATGCATTTAAGGAAAAATTTTGTAAAAGCAACAACATAATTTGTTCATGTAAAGCTGGACAATCGGAAATTTTTTTGCCAATTCTTAACAGTCAAATCCACTCTACGTTGATTACACTTATGAGTTTCTTTGAATTCTGATTTCCAAATAATCATCTGCTTTCACCTGGCAATAAATTTAAACTTATATCGGGATTTTAGAATTCAACTCAAAAGCTTTGCTTTTCCTATTGCTATTCAAGGATTCAAATGACCCAGATAAAATACTTTTGTTTTTAAACATAGAGCGAGCATCAGGTTAAAAATGTGAATACATAGTTCACTGCAAAAATGCAAAGCATCCTTCACTTGCACGTATAGGATGACCTAGGCTTTTGATTCAGTGAAAAATGAATAAAAACCTCGTCTTATACGCGAGTAAATATGGTATTATGTTTTGATGACTTGCATATAAAGAAATAAAATCGGACACAAAAGATTGGGGTTGAATCCAGTCCCGATCCTCAATTTATCATAGATTATTCGGTTAATGCATCATTCTCCATTTACCATCCTTGGCAGCCAACCCTACCATGGATTAGATGAAACTGTAATGAGTAAAATTGCAGCCAGATGTATAGTTTTTAATGCATCAGTGTCTTGCGTCAACAAAATTCGGTTACTTTTGAAATAACCTGAAAGCCAAGTCAAGCATATTTTTCACACATTCAATCAGTTTTTGCATTATGTGGGGAAAAAAAGATTTTTCTTTGATCAATTCTTGTTTAGCAGCGTGAACTTGAATATACAATAGTAAGTGTATTATGAAACTTTAGCATCAGTAGAGAGAACAGTCTTTTATTTTTGTATTGTGATAATGCAAGATCATGCTGCAGTAAGAAAATGATAAGGACATTTAAGTGGCAAGTTACTCTGCATTCTCCTTATGGCCCAGATCTGGTACAGTCACATTTTCGATTGCTTCTAAAAGTGAAACAGATGCAAAAAGATCAACAATGCTTTGATATCTGATGAAAAATTTCAAGCTGTCATAGGGAAATGGACTAAAGAACACAAAAGTGATTGAACATTTAGAAATTACAATAAATGATAATTATGTTGAAGAATGAATATGTATGTATTAAAAATAAAAAAAAGTTTTTACTATTTTTAAAACTAAATTATTCTACTTCTTCCCAAACTAATTTTATAACAACTGATAAATAAGATCTTAAACTCTCAAGCTGTAGAAGTAAACTTTTAAATGTAGGATTAATCTCACCCTATGCAACAGGTCACTATTATGTAACTAATAAATAAAAAGTTCACTCACTTTCGTAGATTTGGGATCTCTTTCTTCTATGACTTTACGTTTGGTGGACGACGATTTACTTCTGACTTGCCTGTCTTTGATGGGTATTTTGCTGTTTGAATCTACCACTTTTAAAATTTTGTCCTCGACCGCAGTCCCTTTTCTCAGAGCGTCGTCTGTAAATTCGGCAATGGAATGCATTTGAGTTTCAACAGGATAGGAACTTTGAAGATGGGGGAGGCAGAGCGTGTTTCGTCTTTGAAGCTCGCTGATCCTTACTAGCTGCTGATCTTTGATATTACACCGCCCGGCTTTCAAATCACTGAGGTGGCTCTGGTTCATGAATTCGCCTTCTTCGTCTTCGCACATAAACTGAGATCCTGTACCTGCTATGGAACATATGATTTTATTAAAACATTTTTATAAAGTGTGACAAGATAAACTGCATCAAAACTATATTAATATTCTATACAAGATGACCAGATGGTCAAGTGGCTAAGTTAGCATCCTAATACTCTGGTAAATCTGGGATTAAATCTAGATGGGTCAAAAAACCCCAGGAATTTTTCCAGGTAGTCCATCCGGATATTGGGCACCATCTATCATTACCTGGCCCCATTGCAGGCCTAGTCAAATGAGTAATGGACTTGCTGTCCCAAAAAGTACCAGCAATGGAACCAACCACAAAAATCAAACATATCACTTCATACCTTCATCTAATGTTCACTCCTTTTTATCATTGATGTAATATCAGTATCTTGAAACATTTATTTATCATAACACGTATAACAGTCTTCTTGCTCCACAATATAAATAACGTCATCTATTATAAACTAATAAACAATATTACCTGGAACTTGTCGATGTGGAGTAGATGCAAGATTTGAGCGATTATTTTCGGTATAGGAACTTGAAGACAAACTGTGATCGGCTCCAAACGTCGTCTCCAATTTTGTCGCTCTAAAATTAAAACAAATAAATAAAAATGAAATATTTCTATATTAAAGTGGTTAAATGTTTTCAAAATCAAACAATATACATTTATAAACACCCAGGCTTAATATACTGTATTTAGGTAACTGGACGATAATCATAATGTTAAGATTACTGACAATTATAAATTTATGCAATTCAGTTCATCCATTCTTCTTTTACTGTTTACGCTCGAAGATAAACATTATATTGTATCCATGTTATGCCAATTAGTTTGTTGAAGATCTCTTGTGCATCCACATATCAGAAGGCACAGTCTTAACGTGCAACAAGGAAGACATTCAAGCGGCCTCTACTTCTTTACAAGTAATTTTAAGTACTATTCATTGTTGTGAACCTTAACAGCATAGATTTTAGGCACACTCAAGTCTTCATAGAGGAAGTGAGTAGATGAAGGACTTGATAATGGACTATGCAGAAAAGTTAAGGTGTCACCATGTACTGTACATGTTTAAAATGTCTATGTTAGCTCTGATCAATTGGTATATACGAGGTCTGTTCAAAAAGTATCGGACCTTTGGTCGGCAAAAATACATTTATTGATTTTGAGGTACAAATTTTGATACAAATTGATTTTGAGGTACAAGGTTATCACGATGGAGCTGCCAAGTTTTGATCGACCATAGATCCAGTCGTTTGCATCGCATAGCATCACAAAGACGACGAAGGACCTCCTGGTAGTACTCCATTGCAATGTTTAGGCCCTGTGGTGCGTACTCAGGACACACCACCCGATGAGAGTCGAAAAAACTGTCAACATGACCTTGATATTGCTGCGGACCTGCCGCGTTTTTTCTGGCCTCGAGGATCGTCTCCGAAAGCCTGCTGAATCTTGCGAATGGTTTACGCTCGGGTATCGCCAAGGTTTTTGGCAAAATTTGATGTAATGCCGCTGCTCACGTTGTTCAGTCATTTTCCAACTTAGTGGAATCTGACGAGAGCTCGCTACATGTCCTCACTCATAGGCCGACGGCCAACGACTAACACTTCCTGCAGGCGGGAAAAAATTCAGGGCTGTGCATGACTGTCCCCTCCACAACTCCACCGAAAGAGGCCTCCCGCGCATCATTGGTTTACGTGGTAAAAATAAAAGTCCGATACTTTTTGAACAGACCTCGTATAATTCAAGGATGAGAAGATTTGGCTTGAATTTGCCATGCCAACTGGCACAAACAGACAGGAACATCCAACATATTCGGCCTTGCCGATCAGAATAGCGTGGACACGCCTTTAGATGTATTTTGTATATAAAATAGTTTAGGATTCTATTTTGTAACTAATATAGTATAACAACTTATTAAGTGATTCTCTAATCAAATTGCAGATTAATCAAAGTTATAAGAAATTTTGCAACTACAGTAATGGACAAAATATCCAGCTTCCAGAATTACCTACTATTTTGAAAATAGCTAGTTCTGGTGAGCTGCAGTACAGCTTTAGTTCACAAAATGGTTACTTTGTTTTGGTTCCATGTCATAAATGTTGCATAATGCCAGTTCCAGTATGTTTTTAATACACCGTATGTCAGCAGTTTTATTCTTTCCGTCATTTAGCCCCTATCCAGAAACCCGTACCGCTTCTAGTCTCGAGCTTGTCAGATATTTGGCCTGGTATTGTATTATACAGCCATTAGCTGTATTAAATGTTGTCTTATATCATAAACAAGCACAAGTAGAATTTTAATATTTCATTTGGTATAATTTGAGTCAATATTTGTTGCTTTTAAAATAATGTAAATTATCTTAATATGGTAAAAACAATGTATACAAATTATTGCATTTTCAAAATAAAATTACAAACCTAATGTATTTTTAATCTAAGCAAACCCAACAATCCCATGATGATAAGAGTTCGGACAGTCAAACTTTTATTGTCATCTTTGTTACTTTTGTAAACATTTAGATAAGGTTACAAAAGTCCTAACATCGGATAATTGTCACTTATACAATAAATTAAAAAAATAATAATAACTATCAATTTAGTTTATATCCAGCTAAATTGTTCTTCATAATCATGTGCGAGATCCACGACTTTTATAGTTGTCGGGAAAAATTTGTAAACAACTCCGATGGAAAAAACCCGCTCTTGGTGAGAATTATATTGGAGGTCACCGTTTGTTTTCACAATTAGGTGGGAAAGTTGACACTTGGTTGATCGGAATGCACCGTTAATGTCAACAGAAGTCGATCACATGACTCCTTTCCCACAAAGACAGTATAAAAGCTCAAGCCCCTGGAAGCTCAAGGTGATCCAAAGGAAGTTATGCTTGTTATGTGTGCATGTTGACTCCATACACCGGACACAGCAACTGAAAGGACATCGCCACACAACAGACCACAACTTCAAAATTCCAACGTCATTCTACAGTTCCTGTGCCGACTACAATTCCTATGGCCCATTCAATGAACTCATATCAGTCATATACTCATAGAAGTATTTGTATTTTAGAGCTTGGTGAATGTTAACGAGCTCTCGAAATAGCCGTTAGAGCTGTAAGAGTGGCCCCTGTATAGTTAACTCATATTTAACCACATTTAAACTTAATATTATTATCACGTCAGGTAACCTAGTTTAATTATTCAATAAATGCTTTGCTATTTTGTTAAACCTGTCGTCTGTCATTGAAAGGACACCTGCCAACTTACCAGCGTACTCCCCACTCGATTTGCCCTCCTAAACCATCCGACTACTCCGAGATCGGGTTTTACCAACCCATGCAGATTAAGTGGTCAGAAGGGATTAACCTCTGACCCCCTGCTTATCTCACACATGTAAATCACTATGATTTAAGAGAAATCTTAGTAATAAAACCAATACTTACTCATTGAGATGCGACATGGTTCTTAAACCCGTATCCTTTTCGTCATGACCTGAAATTGTTCATAAATAATTGTTGAAAAGCTCAGTATAAAATTACGTTTTGATTTAATTTTAAACATCCTTCATAACAATTTTTTTTACAAACTTGTCTTTGTAAGTTGTTTTCTTTGAACAAACAACCTTACTGCTCAGTTCCTTTCCCCCCACAATCAATGTAGTTTTTGCCAGATCTACAGTAGACTTGGTGGATGATGAAGTACCAAGTGTCCAAAAAGTTGCATGCAGCGAGAAACTTGTAATGACATTAAAATTATAAATGCAGCATTGCATACAAGACTCAAGTTGTATCCCCGAGTTTCTGCTTTGCAGTAGACGGCATTACTGATCTCTCGCAGACGTTCTGGTTTTTGGACTACAGTTTTTGAAAGACTTCTTTTCCAATAGTACAATCTCCCTCAGAATCCGGCTCGTTATATCTCCAGACTTCACTCCCTGACTTAGAGACCGCTGGGAGACATTAAACAAAGTAACTTTTTGGACACCTTGTACAAAATCTAATGTATCTGGTTAAAACCATTCATAAAAATTTCCAATGCTCTAACCCAGACATAAATTTGGGTCATCAGAGCAGCAAGCAAATGCCTTTATTACCTCATCCGCCCAATTGATTAAAACTTATTTTTGATAATTCTTCTTATATTTCTTTTAACGTTAACAAGCATTTGGTACTTACTTGAAGATTTTCTCCTGCACAGATATGAATTTCTGATTTGATTGTAAGAGTAAGACATACTCTGCCTCGAAGAATACGTGTCGTACTTGACGCTAGCATTATAGCACTGGAATCTCAAATCTCTCAGTTCGTTTTCTGCTTGTTTCAGCTGAACTCCTAAGCACTTTTTCTGAAAGATACATTAATATTTTATTGAGTAAATTAAATAAAATCTGCAAAATTTGTTAATTATTGTTTCCAAATTTGCCAAATTGCAGGCTTAAATCTTCCTTTAGTTATAGACGTTTGTATTTGTAGAGTTTTAATAAGATTGTTATCTGAAAGAATTTATTTCTCTTAAATATATGACACTCATTTCAAATTAATTTAAAGAAAATTTGATCACTAAGTCAGTATAATCTAATGAAACATATCTAAGTTATGTATGATGCATATAGACAAATCACTTAAAGATTTTTAAAAGATGCATCTAAAAATGGAGAAATTTTATGATGATTCCAATCATTAGGGATATTTTACACTTATTTGCATATCAAGAACAATCAAAGGACTGTAAAATGGTTCAATGTTTACATATGGTAGTTTATAAGAGGGAACATTGAAGACTTCTGAGAAAAACTTTAATTCTATGCAGGAGTTTAGAGCCACTTTTTAAAAGTTAATGGTAAGTGGAACAGTTTTAAAATTGTCACCAAAGAAATATTGTTGACAATTTTAAAACTGCAGATGTATAATTTCCCACTGGCCTCTGTCCTTTCTTAATCTCAAGAATGGAGTTTGACAGATAAAACCGAGACCAGATATGGAAAACTTAGGAGCCGGAGGCCTTGATTAACTACTGTAAATACAAACTTCTGGTTTGGACCAGCAGTCATGTTATTTCAATTCAAATATTTTCTCCTGAATGGAGTTATATAGATGACTGGCATGACACTCTTGTTAACAGGAAAAGTAAGATGTACAGAAGCAAGACACTACTTGAAACAAAGAAGGAAGGCTGTCTTAGCCCCATAGAGAAAAAGGGGGAAAGGATTGGTTGGGGGAGGGATGGGAGGGAAAGAGGAAGGGAAGTGGGGTTCTTCTGATTGCCCGCATCACATATTTTAAAGACAACCAAGTATTTACAGTACGTATAATAGTAACAGAGTGCTTTTTTGGCTAGGATGGCTACTAAATAGTAGATCTCCCTTGACTCCAATGACTACCTTGTGGCCAGGGACTCAGATGAGGGAAATATTTTTATGCTTGCTTAGATTTCTATCAAGGTGTTTAGCTTTGATATCATTCTGGTACTCTACCCTTTCCCTTCTAGGGTACAAAGGACATACTAGTACCTGCTATCAGTATTGAAGCTTCTTATGCTTCCCTGGAGGTGTGTGTGTTTATTGGTAATAGAAGTAAGTGCTCTCTACATGGCCCAGAGCTCCGCCTGGTTGTTGGAGCTTAAAATACTGCTGGTGGGTAATTTGGCTAGAGGCACTTTAGATGACTATCACTGCCCCTGTTCCAGTTTCACTCTTGGATCTGCCTGTAAAAACTTACTAGTCGGCTTTATCGTCTTCTTTATTGTTAATGTTAATTTTTATCTTGCTTAGTTCAGCTGGATGGGTCATGGTTTCAATTCCAGTAGGGTAATTGTCTAATTTGTATTGTTTTATATCACGAATGAGGTTCTGGCAGTCTGGGGGATAGTCACCTTGTTTTATAAATTGACACATGTCCTCAGTGATGTCGTAGTTTGTCTTTATGATTTTCCATCTCCAAACAATATTCTTGATTTTTAAATGGATCGGTATAATATTTGTAATGACAAGGAGGGCATCAGTTGGGACGGTCTGGTATGTTTTGGATATCCGAATGGCCATGCCCCTCTGGACAGACAGAATTTTCTTCTTAGTGTGAACGAGGCCAGCCTTCTTGCCCCATACCTGAGCAGCATAGAGCATAGCAGGCTTAATAGCCCCCCTTATAAATGATCCTTGTGTTCCTGCTGCTAAGGCCCCAGGTGTTACAGGCTGTATGGTGCATTATGTTAATTCTTTGCTTCATTTTTTGCACATCTCTTCTACATGGAATTTCCAACTTAGTGGATCAATGAAAACACCAAGGTACTGGAGATGAGAAGTTATTTTGATTTTATGATTTATCCATGTAAAGACCAAGTGGGCACTGCAGTTGTTTCCTGTTAGCCCTCCTTGTGCAGACCAGCACCTTGCACTTGTTATGGTTAATTGGTAATTTATCGATATTACTCCACTCCAGGATTTCCTGCAGAATCGTGTTTGCCTTTCTCTGAAGCTCGTTGCAGTTCCTGTGCCTTAAGCCCTGGTCACACTATGCAATTTCTAGCCATGCAGGCGACTGCAACTGGAAACAAGTGCTAGTCATGCACGTCTTCTCGTGGTCCCACATTGTTCGTTGACATTGCAACTCAGAAACATGTGACCCTATAATATACCGATAAAATTACAGTAGCTTGTTTTTGACTACTTTCATGAGTTTGCCGACATTTTACATTCTACTTCAGAGTATTTACAGAATTTCCTTATTAAAATAGCAAGCAGTTCCTTTTCTGGAATGAATAAAAGAAAAAAAGGCAATTATTTTAACAGAGCTGGCAAAAATACACAAAAAGATAAAATCTTCGATAAAATGAAGAATTAAAATCCCACAGGTATTCACGAGCCTGAATAAGCTTGATCAATCTCGATTCTGTAAAAGTATTAATCCTCTAACTATCCGCCATGATGAACTATTTTCAATGTTATCACCATATGATGTGACACAAAGGCATTTGTTGATTGGATGCATGTTTGCAATCATTGCGAGTAGAACAAACTTTTTGTTTCTAGTTGTGGTTGCATTCACACCAGTTTTCAAAGGGGGTTTTACTAGTTAATGGGAACAGCCGTTGCGGTTGCCATGCAATTTCCAGCCTGCACGGCTGGAAACCGCATGGTCACACCATGCGGTTTTAGGAGGGAGGATGAGAGTGTCATCAGCAAACCCTTGAATTCTAAGATTCTTGTCGTTATTGGTGTCTATGTTCAAGAGGCTGTCGTAGACAAGGTTCCAAATGCCTGGCCCACAATGGAAAGCTTAAGGACAGCCGTGATTGACTTTCTTCATCACATTAAACGTGTTAGTGAAGAAACCTGCTTTTCTGTTGCTCAAGTAACTTTTTGTGAGATTACAGAATAGAAGGTACCCCCTTAATATTTATAATCTGTTTAAGACTGCCGGCCACCAGAGGTGGTCGAACACCTTTTTAAAGTTCACGCTGATAAGAAAAGCATGGCACTCTTCCTGCCAAGCATCCAGGATAAAATCCTTAGCTCTTTGGATGGCAGTGACCATCAAGCTGCACCTTTTAAAGCCATATTGATCGATGTGATGGCTTTTAGTGATAGCAAGGTGCCAATTTATTCTCCCTATTAGTAATCTATACAAAACCTTCCCAAGAGCAAGGAGGAGACTAATTGGTCTATAGTCTTTTTCACTAACTGGTTTAGAGACCTTGGGTATGAACTTTATGCTTGCCACCTTCCATTGGTTCGGAAAGTAGCTGGTGGATAAGCAAGCATTGAAGAAGGTGAAGAATGCAACTGGGACATCATTGAAAGCTTGTTTGACCATTTTGGCAGTGATGCCGTCCACTCCCAGTGCCTTCTTATTGGCTAGAGAGTGTATAGCATCCCTCACCTCGAGAAAAGAGAACCATTTATCATGCTATTTCCAGTGTAGTTTTCAGTCTCTGTCCTTATGGTTTTCTGGTAATCCAGGTCCTCCTCCAAGTTGTCGTTTGGAAAGTGGAATTCCAGAAGATTTCTGATGCTTGTTACCATATTGTAGTTGTTGGTGTCATTCTTACAAAATATGTGAGGGATGGTGGCTTTATTTCTTCCTTTGTAGATAGTGTTTTAGGGTTGGGACCAAGGGCCCTTTGCCCTACTGAAAATGTCCTTCGGCAAGACACTACTAAAATCAATAGTACTGTGCATCAAAATTTAAAAAATTGCAGATCAGCATTGTGACGATGTCACAATAAATAATTGCTTGGTTTTTTACGAGTGACGAGACTGTGCCTCGTCTATAAAATCACACTACTGTCAACGGCTGCACACCTTAGAGATATGAAAGAGTACATGTCAGGAGTTGCAATTTGGCACAGTGTATTTGGTGCCCAAATCATGCTAAAAATCCTTAAACAGCTCCATACATTTGGTATCTGCCAAATCCCAAGTAAACATTTGGTTAATACCGAGTAGTGTGGATGATTTGTGTGTGAAGAATATTCAGTATTTGCCATTTTCCACTCCTTGTCACTACACTGTGCCAAATCAAAGAGGACGAATATGGAATTATTTGGCAATTGGCAAATACTGAAAGTGTCAAACCATCTTTATATAATCAGAACCTTAATGCAAGTGTAAATTGATCCTAAGCTCACTATATACTTTAATACCATAATTAAAATGTTGTCTAAAGGGCAGTTACTATGTGGAAGTTGTAAGAGATAACGCAACAAGAATCATTAGAGTTGACAATTAAATTCACTTTATAAGTTAATAAATTCTATTAATCCTTTTTATGATGGAAGTTTATCTAATTTGCATATTATGTAATAAGTCAGAAAGTGTCCATATTCTAAATTTAAAGAATACCTGTTCAACTTCTTTATTTAAAAGTAATTCCTGATGTCTTATTTGTCCTTTAAGTGCATTCTTTTCGTTCTGTAATTCCGCCAGTTTGTCTTTTAACAAATTCAATTCTTTGTTCTGTTTCTCCAAGGTACTCCGTGTGGTGGACAAGTCGCTTTCGGAAAACTTCAGTCTGTCAGCATTACTCTTATCTTTCAGCAAGTTATTCAGCCTAACAAATGATAATAAAATTTGACAATAATTTATATATTAAGTAAAAAAAAGCAATAAATAATCATTAAGAGACTTACCTTTCGCATTCTTTTTTTAAACCCTTCTCTTCATCTTTCAGCTTGGTTACTAACTCGTTTGAATTTTCATATTTGTGTAATAAGGCTTTAAATTCCTGATGAATTTGTAAATTTTTTAATTCTGATTCTTTGACTCTTAACTGAAGTTCACACATTTCTTTATTAAACTTGGTTACAGTTTTCTTCCTTTGATTCTACATTAAATGTTTTAAGGGTTTTATTAATAAAATTAAATAAATTCGTTTTTTTATTTATATTAAAATAACATCAATATAGGATAGGAGGACGCTTGTTGTGGCTCATCATATTGGGCCGAAGTGACAGCCCATAATGAAGAACCGAAGTTTCTTATGGTATTCCCCTTTAACAGATACTAATGCACATAGATACACTATGGGAAAAAATATTTCCGTGTCAATTAATGGAATATAACAATTTGATATGGCTGTTTATAGCTTGCCATAATGGAATTACTGTAGCAATCTTTTTGACTGCTATGAAGTTGTAGAAAATTTGAAATCTTTGTATATGGGCATTCTACGAACACATTATCAATGATCAAGACTATACGAACAATCTTACACAGACATATTCAGCTTAAACTTTAAATGAGTTTCACACAAGATCAAAAGTTCCTATCAATATTAGTAAAAAATAACCCAACTAGACAGAAAACTGATAAACCTTTTTGCCTCGATTCCAAAGTAGTCAAAACAACACACTGTGGCTATCATGCTTTAACTTCATCTATACCAAAACATTCTAGAGCCATTATTCCCAAAATGAGTGCTACAAGCCCCTTGAAGGTGATAGAAGACTCAAGAAAGTGCTGGAAGGCAAGGGGCAGGAGAGGTGTTGAAAGAAAAGGGAGACAAATAATTCATTTTGAAAAAACAAATATATGCACTAAAAGGGGTAGTAGTCTGAAAAGTTTGGGAAACGCTGTTCTAAACCCATTATTAGGATTAATTAGCCATTTTTTTGTTACTCAAACACCTTTCAAGAAGCAGCAAATAGGAAAACATACATAAATTTCAATTTAGTATCACCATTTTGCCTTTCTTTTTACTGTGTACATTCAATTGAGAGTGGCACTAAACTGAAGTACCTTAAAACAATGAAAATTACACTTAACGAGGTGGAGACACAAGGTTGAGAATTTGAAAAGGTGCACGATTCGGCAATAACAATGTCACAATGCAAAAATCGTACATTGAAATATTTTCTAATATTATTTGACTGTATCAATTAGAAATAAGCAATGTAAACAGAAAAGTCATAATAGTTCAAAACATCCCAAAACAAAAGAAATTTAAAATTAAACAAGACATCGAACAGCACTTTCCATTTTGTCCTTATTCACTTTTGATGCCATTTGTTACGGAAAGAATTTGTTATTTTATAAAAGACTACAGTCGATCCCGCTATAACACTGTTGATAATTCCGTTTTATATGAATTCAATGTTGTACGAGTCACTTAGGTATTACAAATAAGTGTGCCGAGTTGTGAATGGCTCACATATTTGTAAAATCTAAGTGACTCGTACAACATGGAATTTATATAATACAGAATTATCAACAGTGTTATTAGGGGGATCAACTGTAGTTAAAAACAACAAAAGGTAAGTGGTAAATGTTATACTGGAAAATCAATTGCCATCTTTCAATAAGTGAATTCATCCAAAAAACAACCGAGTAACAATACGGCCAGTTTTGTAAGAAATTTGCCTATTTAGCTACTGGTCATCTAGATGCACCAAATATCCTTATATTTAAAAATGGCAGATTAAAATGGTCATGTCTCAAATGTTGAAAATTTGATTGAAATGATAAAATATGCAATATAAATACCAAATCAATAGCCGGATTCTATTACTGGACTAAGTACTAAGTAATTTGGTGAGAGCGAGGCAGCCACACCACCATCTCTTGTTAAATATAATAATAATAAATAAAGAACGCTAAAGGAATTCGGCTATTTGTTTCATATTTAAAGTAATTATCGGGTTATTTGTAATTATTACATATAATACATACGTGTTCTTCTTTCTTCATCTTTTGTATTTCTTCCGAATGTGCTTTTTCCATTTCTTTTTTACTTGTTTCTTCTTCTTTAATTTGATTCAATAACCTCTCCTTTTCCTGATTCGTCAAGTTGAGCTTATTCTGCAAACTGTCCTTTTCAAAATTTAAATTTTCATTTTTTGTCTCCAACGAGTGCAATTTCTCTCTCAGCCAAGTGTTTTCTTTATCTGCATCCTTTTGCTCCTTTTCAAGACTATTGACTTTACTTTCTAGGAAATATTTACGTCGTCTCAACTCTTCATTCGCATTCCTCAAACTCTGAATTTCTAAAGATAAACTTTCGATTTCTCTCATAAACGTCTGCTTCTGAGTTTCGCTTAACTGAAGTTGCATTAACAGAGCCGAAATCTGTTCATTGAGACATTTTAGTTTGAGTTCGAATTCCTTTTGTTTCTCGTTCTGGTGAGATGACTCTGAATTATTAGTTTGGAAGTAATTAAACTTTGATACTAATAAACTAAACTGATCTTTTAATTCATTAATTTGTGTTAAAATGGTTTGTTGATTTACGTCTTTTGGAATCTGTACAGTAAGTTGCAATACTTCTTGCTGTTTGTTAATGTCATTACTGGTGCAAGCTCTTACCTGATTCAAATCTATTCTTTCCAATTGATTACTATTTAAGCACGCACCTTCTGCAACTAAATTATTATTATGGTAGTAGTTTTTATATTCAGTTTGATGAATTAGTTCCTTACACAATTCTTTAGAGTTTTCAATGTAATTTATCTGTTTCGGTAATTTTTCATGTTGAATTTTCTCTTTATTTGAATGATTTCCAATGTTAATTTTCCATAAATTGTTTTCTTTATCATCATTATTTTCTTTAACGGTAAGCATTTCAATTTTTATGTCCCGAGATGCAGATGTTTCTTTCGTCTGTTGCGCACAATTTTCCTTTAATTTATTCTGAATTAAATCCATCTGCTCATTTTCTACACAAATCACCATCTTATTTTTAATGTCTTTCGTGTCGCAGTTATTCGATAAATTATAATTTAAGGCTTGATTTTCTAATTTTTCTGATTTTATATTCATTTTCTGTAACTGAAGCTGGTTTAATTCATTTTCTTCTGCATTACTTAGCACCTTTTTTTCGTCAGCAATTTTAATATTAATTAAATCTTGAAGTTCTATTAACTTCAAGGTAAGATTACCATTTGTCTCCGATAAAAGATCTCTCTCTTTTTTTAATGATTCTAAGCAATCGATCTGATTTTTTAATGTTTGTTCGACTTCTTGAATCTTCGATTTAAGTTTAATACACTCAATTTCTTTCTGTTCCTTCTCCATTTTTTCAGTATTCAAGATTTCCTCAAACTTCTCTCTCTCTTCTTTCTGTTTTTCTTTGATAGTTGTGTTTTCTTTTGCTAGAAAATTCATTTTGGATATTATTTGTTCATGTTCTAACTTAAACTGTTCTCGCTCGCTTTCAAATTTCTGCATTTGGTTTGTAAGTATCAATAATATTTCCTCTTTATTTTCATTTTCTTCATTCAGCCGAATGTTTGATTCGCTATTACTTGCTAATTTAGAAGTTAAGCAATTAATTTTGTCTTCCTTTTCATTTATTATTTTATCTTTCTGTACAATTAATTCGTCTAATTCTTTAAGTTTTGTTCCCATCAATTTAGACTGTTCGAAATCAAAATTAATTTGGGACGTTTCGCTTGAAACTGTTTCGACGGGTCGTCGATTTGTACCGACTTCCCATAATTGCCCCATTTGACAAGTGGAATCTTTTACGTTTGATATTAGATTAATTCCTTTCAGATTCGACTGGTGTATAATCTTGACGTCAAGATCGTTTTCAGTTTTAATTGCATTGGAATTATTATTTAGGTTATTGCATATTTGATTAGAACTTCCTTGTGTTGATTCATGCTTATAATGAACATTTTCTCCTTGTTCAGTGAGAGAGAAAGCCGTATTTTGAATCACCTGTTCGGAATCTGCAGAAATTATTGCAGGCATATCAATTCTCTTAAGCTTTTCTTTCAATATTTCATTCTCAGTTTCCAGAAATTTGATTCTATTTTGAATATTTTTCATTTCATCTTTGTATAATTTAGAATTCTCACTCTCAAACTGTTTATAGAGATGAAATTCATACTCTGTACGATTGATTATTTTTGAATTATTCTCATTAGCTAAGGATAACAAATTATTAAGTTTATCGACTTCACTTTTATAGGAATTCAATGTGTCTTCTAAACCCTCAATTTCTTCAATTTTTATATTCTTCTGGATAATTTCTTGTTTCAGATTGATGATAATTGTTTCTAGATTTTTATTATTATTCTCACTTTCATCTAATTTCTCTTTATACTCCTTACGAAGCATATCGATAGCATCTTTTAACTCGCATTTCTCGATTTCGTATTCATGTAATTTAATAATAGAAATGTCTAAACTTTTCTTAAGAGAAGAATTATCATTTTCAAGTGATGACTTTTCATTAATAATTACATCTACGTTCTTTTCTAAGTTTTCAAAGCTTTTATTTAGTTTCTCCAGATCTTTTGTTAGGTCTCTATTCAGAGTTTCCAGTTCCGAATTTTCATTCTTTAATGATAAAATTTTTGCTTCCAACTGTTTAACGTCTTCTTTATGAAGTTCTTCCGAACTTTTTGTTTTTTCTTGTTCTGCTAACAGATCATTTTTTAAAGCGTCGTTTGCAAATGATAATTCGTTAATGGATTGACGTAAAGACTCGTTATTTGCATTTAAGGATTCTATATTCGTATTTAAAACTTCATTTTCACTTGTTATCTTTTCGATAATCGAATTAGCTTCATTAGTTTTCTTTAACTGTTCGCTACAGTTTAATTCGGATTTCTGTAACAAAGTGGATAACTCTTGTTTCTCAATTAATAAATTGTTTATGTTATCCTCTAAATTTTGTTTATGCAAAACAGTTTGATTTTCTAGTTCTGCCAACTTTTCAAGTAGCATATTTAATTTGCCACCCAAGCAAATTTTTTCATCGTTTAATTGTTTGACAGTAGAAATTAACCTTTCCTTTTCTTTGTTAAATTCTGTTTCGTTATTTATCAATTTACTTGTAATTTTATCGAGTTCGTTAGAAAGTTCTTCCTTTTCTTGCGATAATTTAGCAATTAAAATTTCCTGCTTACTAACTTCTGACACATAATTAGAGAGGCTTTCGTTCTGCACTTTTAGTTCTTCGTACAGAGTTTTCCAGTTGTGACATTTCTCCATTGTTTGATTAAGATTTTCATTTACGAAATTCAGTTTTTCGACGTATTCCAAATTTGTTTTGTGTACTTTACTAAAGTCTAAAGAAATCTGATTTATTTTATTATTTAAATTTTTGACTTCGGTTTGAAGATTGTTATTTTCTTCTTTAATTTTCAGATTATCTTTGACTAATTTATCATTTTCCATTTCAATTGTATTGTTAATTTCTTCAAATTTCTCTTTTTCTTGTGTTAGTAATTGGATTTTATTCTCTAAGTCCTTTCTTATTAGATTATCCTTTGTTAAATTTTCAATTTGGTCTTCCATCTTCATTTTACTGTCGAGTAGTTCGAAATTCTCTTTCGTTAAAACTGCATTCTCATCCTGTAATTAAATTAAGAAATTTATTAAAGAAAAAAATATTTTACCAAAGACTATTTATTTTAAAAGCTGTTTAATAAATTTGAAATGGCTATATGTTTTGGGATTGACTAGCCTAGAGCTAAATTGTACAATAAATATGGGCAACCTATGGCTGGAGGGCTATGTGCTTTTCCATGGTCCACAAGATCCTTAAACATATGATGTAAATATGTAATTTATGATAATTTCATGCATCCAGCAAACAGTCATAAGGATATACAGTCCGTTTCAAAATTATAAACACACCCAACATTTTTCAATAACAAAAACATTAACAACTGTAATGTATTTATTATATTAGTATGTTGTTTACAACATCAATTTAAACATTTTCTGAAATTTTTAGAGCAATCTGACAATTACAAAAACAATTATCAGAGATTTTCAATTTTTGAGTGTTTCAAAAGTATAAACACATGTGAATAAAACTAGTATAATAATTTTTTTATTAATTGTTAGTTTAATTAGTTGTCACCAGTGGGGAGTATCATTCATTATTAAAAATGTGGCGCCAATTTTAAACGGTTTTTTATGATTTAAAGCAATGCCTCGTGGAAAAACACTACCAGAGTAGGAAATACGTGAAATTTACCAACCAAAAGGATTAGGACGATCTCTAAGACAAATTTCAGCAGCTATAAATCGATCTACACATGCTGTGAGAAATGTTTTAACTCAGGGTGAAAATTATGGCAGAAATAAGCGATGTGGAAGGCCTAAACTCCTTACACCTAGAAACGAAAGAAAGGTTTTTCAGCTACTGACAGTCAACAAGTTGTCTGTCAGAGAAGCAGCATCAACATTGCAAATTGCAGTTTCCCCAGCAACTGTATGGAGATGTATGCATAATCATAAAAATGCCAAATTTACCAAAATGACTGCCAAACTGAAATTAACACAATTGCACAAAACAGCTAGATTAAAGTGGGCCAAAGACAAGATGACATGGAAAGAGGAATGGAAACAAATAGTCTTTTCAGATGAAAAAAAGTGGAATTTGGATGGACCTGACAGTTATAGTCACTACTGGCATGATTTGAGGAAGAACGAAGAAGTCAGAATGAGCAGACAGCAAGGTGGAGGATCTGTGATGGTGTGGGCAGGATTTGGATGGGGAGGTAAAACAGATATTGTATTCATAGAAGGTAGAATGAATTCAGAAAAGTATCAAGAACTGTTGTATCAAAATTTAATAACTTTTGGACCACTTATTGGGGGAGAAAACTGGCAATTCCAACAGGATAATGCTGCCATTCATACATCAAAGTCAACTAAAAATTGGTTTGCTGAAAAAAAAACTTACTGTAATTGATTGGCCATCACGGAGCCCTGATATGAACCCGATAGAAAATATTTGGGGCATTATGAGTTGTCTTGTTTATGGCCAAAACAGACAATACAATACTGTAAATGAATTGAAATTAGCTATTATGGATTGTTGGGAAAATATTAAACAAGAACAACTTCAAAAACTAGTAAAATGTATGCCTGATAGAGTATTTGAACTAATTAAATCAAATGGTGGACCTACAAAATATTGAAACATCACAAATTGTTTTTTTGTGCACATGTGTTTATACTTTTGAAACAATCAAAAATTGAAAATATGTGATAATTTTTTTTGTAATTGTAAGATTGCTGTAAAAATTTCAGAAAATGTTTAAATTGATGTTGTAAATGATATTTTAATATAATAAATACATTACAATTGTTAATGTTTTTGTTATTGAAAAAAGTTGGGTGTGTTTATAATTTTGAAACAGACTGTAAGTGATAGCATTCAAGATTATCTGTAATATTTCACATATATTTTACAAATATAGAATTTTCTTCATCTAGAAGCTACATTAAATACTGTTTAGCCCAATCTCTTATTAAAATAATGACATATGGCCCTTTACTATAGAATACAGAATAGGACGTTAAATGAAGATATATATGAAATAATATAAGGTTTGATTTATCTTAAACTATACAGTGTTACACCAGTTAGTGGAGCAATATGTTGCTGCCATACTCCACAATCTGGCAAGATGTAGCTAGGAGGATTCTGCCACAATATTTGCAAGATTTAGCCTAACAGCATATTGAGGTAACCTTTCTAAACCAGTTTTTATGCTGCTAAAATAAATCCGAATATTTATCTATCTCAATTAATCAATGTTTAAACTACCCCATATAAAAATTTATAAATAAAAATCATGAATACTTTGTTTATACATCAATTACTATTTTATTAGTGCTATACACTAACTACTATTTATAGATCGAAATGACAATATATCGCATTATCTAAGAACTATAATATTCAATAATTTATTAATGACGGTTTGCAATTTTTAATTTATTTAATTTAAAATATGTGCTCTCCACCTGAAATTAGTGGCGGCTTACCCCTATACATTACATTTTTTTCTGTTAACAATACAGTCATGCCAGTAATCTATCAAACTCCTTTTTAGAGATAATTTTTGAATTGAAATAACACGACTTTTGGTGCAAACTGAAAGTTTGTATAAAGCTAATCGGGGCCTCACCCCTAACCTTTCTGTATCTGGTATTGACTTTCATCTGTCTAACACTGTTCTCAAGATTAAGGAAGGGCAGACATGTAGACGGATGACAGTAGGAATTTATAGGGCATATAATTTTTTCAAATGCAGCCCAATAAGAAAAAGAATATGATTGTAGTTCAAGTCAGTAATCAAACAATACAGAAAGATTCTTATTGGGGTATAAAATTGGGCTAATTAATATCGCACCTCATAAATTAATTAGCCATCTTGTAGTACAGTAAGAGTCCAACTTTATCATTTGATTAGTAACATTAAAAAAAAATTGAATATGGTTTTTATATGTAATGAAGTCAGTAATTTTTCTTTAGTGATAAGCATAAATTTTGCTGAAGAAAACAAATCATACAAGGAACTAGACCAGTAACTTTATTTGAGCCTCCTGTCCTTCTTCAGTCCTTTATTGTGCTGCAATTTGAAAAAATTGTAGACCAATAAATTCCTACTGTCGTCCATCTGTCTGTCTTTCCTTAATCTCGAGAATGGAATTAGATAGACGAAATATGAGACCAGATAGGGACACCTAAGGGGTAGGAGGTCACAACTAACTATACAAGAACTTCCAATGCAAACCAGAAGTCACGTTAATTCAATTCAACTATGTAATAATGGTTGCTATTACAAAATTAAACAAGCCACATTGAATACCTTCCAACCCCCCCCTTCACCTCTATGTTTTGTAATGCACTGTATCCTGTATCCACAATATCACCTTGGTTAAGGAATATACAGTGCAGTAAAGTTTTTTAGAGTGATTTTAAGGTCTTTTTAAGGTCAATTTTATTAAAAAGTTTTTCCTTTTATAAAATCAACATTTTATAACGTCGCGTTGACTTAAGATGCTAAATAAAATTAAAATTACGTATACGAAGTTGAATCATCCAGCAGTCACTAACAATTTTAATAAGCAATGATCTGTAATAAAAAACTGAAAAGCGGCAGGAGGCTAAAATAAAGTTGGAATAGTCAATTACTGGTGTGTTCCCTGTATAATTTGTTCTCTTTGGCTAAATTTATGCTTATCACTAAAGGATCTATCGGGAGAATAAGTAGCAATTGAACAACAAAGTAATTTTTCTGTTTAGAATATTTTGTATTACTTTATACAAAGAATTTTATTAGTTTAATGGTAACGCATTTAGAACTTTAATTTAGAATAAAAATCAAGCTATCATTTACAAAGAAGTTGCAAATTTATTTAAATATTTATTTCTAGAAGGTACAGGCAGTCCCAAATTAAACTTGACATTTCCCAGCTGGTTACAGCAAAAACTATTCATCGGAACGTCGTGAAAGTTTGGGAATGCCTTAATGAGATGATGGGTATTTTTTTAAAGCATAGATAGATAGTTCCAAAAATCAGCACTAGAGGGTGTATTATAGTTTTATACAGAACAATGAGTTACACAAATTATCTGTCTAATGTGAACAAAACATGTTCCAAACATGATAATTGTCTACTATCATATGAAACAATGTTCAATAGTTGCATGCAACGTGTACCACGGAATGTTATGCATGCAGCATGCTATGCTGTCTTTAAGGTCTGGCAGAGATGTTATGGGATCACGGTAAACTAAGACTTTAAGATAGCCCCAGAGCCAAAAATTTCATGGATTCAAGTCTGGGATCTTGCAGGCCAATGTGCCACTATTTCGGCTTGAAAAGCATCCTCTACTGATGTCTTTTGAAACTAACTTTTTTTTGGTCTAGAATAATTCCCATCATTTCATTAGGGCAGTCCCTAATTAATCTATTTCCATAAAGTATTAATTCTCCAGTTAGATGCTGCTGTCGTAGCACGATAAGGTATTAGGTTCTGCAAGGGATCTCGATTTCAATCTGATCAAAACATGTTTTTGTGTGCAAGCAAGTATAAATCAGTCATTCCTCATTGGTGCTAGACAACCCAATGAGAATAAAGTCACATCTGTAATGGGATTAATTGAGTGTACTTGCGATTTGTGTTAACCAACCGATCACAAGCCAATCAATCTTCATGTTTTAACTTTATTTGAAAATTAAAAGAACTTTCATACCTCTTTCTTTTTCAGCAATTCTTTCATTTCTTCAACGGTTGCTTTCAATTCTGACAGACAAACTTCCGTAACCACTTCGGCCAAACATTCTCCCATAGAGAAGCTTTCTATAATTTGTATATTTACATTTAAAAATGCAATTTCTTTTTTATTTGTGCAATATAATTAAAATAAAACTTTATCATCTAATAATTCATGAATCAAAATTTTCTCTAAACAATTTTTTTTTCACTAAAAAACACTCAAATTAATGATAAAAATAGAAGAAATTGCTATAACAATCTAAGAAAAACTAAAAGTTATTCTAAATGCTATGTATCTATTATTATTTTGTACATAATAGCAAAGTGGATAAATGGTCAGGGATCTCAATGATTATTATAGATTGTACAGATTGAGTTATTGTTCTATCCCTCGCTTGTGCTGGCTAATCACGCCACGGGTCAAGCCCACCTGTGACAAAAGCCGTAGCTAGCTACGTAACCTTAATTTACCAATGCCTCACATTTACTATTATGTGACTGATTGATTGGTAAACTATGGTTAGAAAATAACTATATACTAAAAAAATAAAATAGAATTTGAATTAAGTCTATAAAAAAAATCCAGTAATAAGTTGCTTAACTTATCCCAGCAACATTTAAAACTGTATGCATGGCACCATCCGTTATATTATTATTAAAAAACTTATTATTTTTTAATCATTATAAAATGGCAAAAAGTTTAATTTTGAGAGTAGGTATGGTTATTAGTATTTACAATTTTTTTTATTAAAAATTGTAAATACTAATGAGTAAAATCATTATTATGTCTGATCCTACTGGAGATACACATGACCCCCTTAAAAGCTTGAGAGATGGGGAAATAATCACCAAAATTTAATAGCATCGATCCCCCTAATATACAAACCTCACTGCAAAATTTCAAATATTTTTGTTAAAAACACAGGAGTTATTAATTAAGCTTCAAAGACTGAACAAAATCATGCCTTCCCACACACACTAACATCCATACATATAGAAAAACCCCTTGAAGTTTTTCACATTTCTTGACATTTAAGATCTCAGAGTCCAAAAATTTAAAAATCTTAGAGGGTCATTTTTGACCGGTCGTCATACTTTCCCTCCATTTATGTAGGTATATATTATATCACTGAAAATCAAAAAGTGCGCAAGATATTTGTAAGATGAACTGACTAGCCATGTGATATAAAATCTGATTTTGTTGTTCTGATCACGTTAAAAAACGTTAATCTATATAAATAAAAATGTAAATGTTCGTTTGTTCAAAATCTTAAATCTCCGAAAGTTCTTAAGTTTGATTGCTTTGAAATTTTGACATGTTGCATTCAAATATGCACATGTTTTTATATTGTATAGATGTTGAAATTCCCCCTGCAGGGGAGAAGGACAAAATTAAAGCTTACCGTGAAGAACTCAGCTGCTATTATACTATTTTAGATGTGGATTTTTGCATTTTAATAGGGTACATCAAGAGAATGTATACTAAGAAGGGATTTTTTTGAAATTCCCTCCCACAAAGAGTGTTATACATTTATAATAGATACATTTTGAGCCACAGCAACGCATGGACGGGTACAGGTAGTATCAAATAGAAAGATGACTGAACATTGATATGGCTTCAATCTTAATCCTGTTAGGCACACTTCCCAATACAACACATTATAACAAACAAATATATCTCATCCAATTGTTATAACGTGTTGTTTCTAAAGTTATAACTTTGTTTTGTTTAGTATTAAATAACTATTGTATGGTGTTTTTAAAATGTTTATTAAATTGTACATAAAAATATTGTATTACATATTGTACGATGAAAACTAAAGAAGCATTAATCATCAGTGAAACAGTTTTTACAAATAAGAACATGATGGTCTGGACAGATCCATTTTTGACACTTTGCACACCACCTTTTGGTCTTTCTATCTTGTCTTCGACTGCAATAAGCGCACCTACCCTGCGATGCAGTCCGTTCAGGTATTTTGAATTCCATTTCTTCTTCACCGAGTAGTAATTTCGCTCGGCTTTGTAGTTCTACTTTAAGGTTCTCTGTCTTAAACCTCCTTTGTATTTGAGGTTTTATTAATTGCCAGCATAAATTTTCTAAAAATTGAGCAATAGTAGCATTTTCGTTTGATGCAATCTTATGGTGTTCGTAAATACAGAAGGCATTGATTGCAGTAATGTTCAATAAGTTATAAAACAATTTCATTGGCCATCTCTTTGTAGTTTGTGACACATTTATTTTTCGACACAGTTCATCTAATAATTCGACTCCTATTTTGGTCGTATTGTAAAAAATAACCATTTCTGGGGTTTTTGAATTTCCGGTTGCTTTGTTTATGGTGTCATTAAAATGCATGGATGATACTACTGTAATAACTTTACTTTTCATTGGCCAATATGACACCATTGTGCAATCTTTCCGGAACCCAAATAATGAAGAGTTTTTTATTTTGTTTTTCTTAAAAAATTCTTTTGGTACCTCCTGTTGGAATTTGCTTATGGATCCCACGTATGTGAGTTTTTTAGAATTTAGTGCTTTGATTAAGGACAGACTAGAAAACCAGTTATTGGCTGTAATATTCCGGTTTGTTCCCTGAACTGGTTTAATCAATCTAATTACAATATCCTCTGCAGAATTACTGACGCAGTAAGGTCCATCGGGCTGCTTCTCAACATAAGGCTCCAAATTCAATGTGTAGGCAGTTCTGACATCAGATAGTGCAAACACTTTTAGCCCATATTTTTCAGGCTTGCCAGGTATATATTGCCGAAACGGACATTTTCCACGAAACCCAAGCAGTTGTTTATCAATGGTTAAATATTCGTACGGTGTGAAATACTGCTGAAAATTTATCACAAATAACTCATGTATTTCCCTGATTGGAGCCAATTTGTCAATAGTTTTCCTTTCATCTCTGTCGTGAATGTCGTCAAATCTTATGCATCGTAATAGAAACCGGAATCGTTTCTCGCTCATACATAAATAACACGATTCTAATCCATTACCTTTTGAATTGTCCCACAGTTTATTTAAATTTTTCCCGAAGCGTCTCATGCTACCAATCAAATAGAGCAACCCAACAAAAGCTCTGATTTCTGTAATGTCGGTAAACTGGGCATCCCTTTCGCGGGAAAACTTTTCTCTTATCTTTTCAATATAGATATTGGTACAAACAACAATATTTTGTACAATATTTTCATCAAAAAACAAATCAAAAATTTCGATTTCACTTTTTGCATGGCGAGCTTTACCTTTGGGACCTGGAGAATTAGTAATAACGTTACAAGCTCTTGTTCTAGCATTTGAGGATGATTTTGTCTTTTGCCATTTAGTAAATCCATCTTTTCCCAGATAAAAGTTTCCATTTTGAAGCTGCTCACATACATTTTCATCATCATCATCATCTTCACCTTCTTGCTCTGAGGCTGTATTGTGGTCACTTTTAGAAATATGATCCACTTCTCCCGAATCGCTTTCCTCACTATCAAATGAAACTTCATCCTGAAGGTCTTCATCTATACACTGACGAAACCTTTTCGACAGCTTATCTGGATCTATGGTGTACTCAAACTTGCGTTTTTTACTTTCCACCATTGTTTTTGCTGTTATAAGAAAACATACAATGAAACAACAAGTTTATCACTACACAAATTTGACTGTTTTATAATAAATCCCACAATAAATTCACAAACCAATACTTACTACAACACAAGATCAAACATTCTGTATAGAAAAAACAAAACAAAAACTAAATTGGCGACATTTGCGCAGCACAATTCATGCAGTTGTATGTTTAGGCATGTGGATGACACTTGTCAACCACACTTTTATTTTACTTTTTAGAAAATATACAGAGAAATCATTCAGGAATGATTGTTGTAGCATTTTAGGAAGGTATTAGAGAAGTGGAATTGAACATGGCAGATTAAATGTTATAGAAAAAAACACCTTGACGATAGATATCATCCATGCAACTAACAAATTTTCATGCAAGTACTGATGATTTAGTTATTTTTTGGTTTGTTAAAAATCAAAAATAATTGAAAGTTTGATACGTAGATATCTATAATATTAAAATAGAAGGTCAAGAATATATACCGTAGTTGTTCCTAAAAATGTTTTATGAATATATATACTGTACTGTACATATGTATGTCATTTCCCATTGACACAGTGTATTATATGGGGCAAAACGTTCTAGACTAAAAAATTTGAATTTATACATAAGTGTATATAGGCATTGGAATAGAAAATATTTATACACTAAACAAATGTTGTAAGCTATATCATAATTGCTAAGTACACTTAAAAAGTATTAAAAAAATAAAAATAAAAAATAAGTACAGTGGGGGATGATAGAACATATTAGTTCTAGATCTTCGTTCATTATAGCATCTTTTTGTTCTAGCTTACATTGAAATACATGTGTTTAGGTGTAACCCTACCAATTCTACAGCCTATCTAACATATCCTTTTAACCCTTGTGTGAGTGGGTAGGAAATTATACATCAATGAACAATTATTTATTGTGACATCATCACAATGCAGGGCTGCAATTTTAATTTATTTAATTTAAAATATATGCTTGCCACCTCAAATTAGTAGCGTCTTACCCCTGTACATCATACATTTCCTGTTAGCAAGAATCATGCCAGGTCATGTATCTAACTCCATTCTCAAGATTAGGGAAGGACAGAAAGACAGTGGGAATGTACAGGTCTACGATTTTTTTCAAATTGCAGCCCAATGAGCGACTTTGTACAATTGTATCACAATGCACTGTTTATGGAAAATAGCAGTGTTATAAGTTCATAAGGCCAATTTTGTTTGATCACTCGTGGTGTCTTGACTTAATGCATTACGCTTGTAACCGAACACAACGCTTGAATGTAATGCACAAACTCAACTGTAGTGATATTGGACCTTAGCATTTTCCCTCAGATGCAGTTTTGTCAGTCCATGTGCAATCCATTTGTGTATAGTTGTAAAAGAGGAATAAGAAATGTAGACAAAGGGTCGTAAAAAAAAAAAAAGTGAGAAGAGTGACAGAGAGTAAGTCAGGACACGGTAGAGAGAGGAAGGGTGAAGTAGTGGTCCCCGAAAGTGGCAACGTTAAGATTCAAGTTTTCTTCTGTAAGTGCCTTTTCTTCATTTTTAAATTAAATTGTAGCTTTTCTTACCTATCTAAATATAGTATGTATTTAACACCTCCCCTCGCCACTTAGACTATGCCTATGACAACAAGTTGATCGCGACACATTTTTAAGACAAAAAGTAGACCTTATGTATACAAAAGTTGGCCACCCCTGCTATATAGAATGTATGCTAGGAATACCTCCGATGTTTTTTCTAATAAGGGATAACGGCTGTTTCAAGTTATCGTGCACTTGTGACATTTGCCGATCATCTAAAACCTGCCAAAAACATGAAAAGCGTCAGTTTTGTGAAAACAAACTATATGCTCCAAACATTCAAACTGTGTTGTCAAATGTTGCTAATGCACCGTGTAATTAGTTTTTGTTACAATAAATTTTTTTACAACTAAATGGTTCCGAGTTTGAAGTGATGGAAGTGGCTGATTTTAAGCATTAAAAATCCTTAACAGACCTATAATTGGAAAGCAGCTATACCTATAATGAAAAGGTACAAATGTAACACACATCACTCACTTATTGTGCTAAGACCTTAATTAAAACATATATTTAGATCTAATTATCTATTTAAATTTATTGCTTCTGAAATATACTTCTTTTGAATATTTTGAAGAGATCAGAAGGCTCATTGACACAAAAAATATTTTATATTTTGAAAGTTGGTATAAATGTACTAATGGCATTTTCTAAATATGTCACTTACACAACAGTTAAACAGGAAATATTATATAAAAACATTTTGATTTTCTAAATAAAGACTGTTTGCTGTAGCATCATTCATTCCAGCATACCCCACTGTACTTACAAATGACATGTGTAGGAAATGATACATTGAGATCCTCTGTACATTATGTACATTTCCTTCTGTTTTTGCTATTTTAAGTTGTAAACTATATTTATAATAATATAAAACTCTCTTTGTGGTTGATTACACCTATAACACTATATGATTTTTAGTTCTATAAGTAAACACAGTGTTTGCAGCACCTGTGCCATAAAAATTTATGGCACGGGTGCGCAAACACCGTGTTTATACATGATTTTGATTTCCATATGTATAGTGTTATAGATGTAATATAACCACAAAATACCATATGACAATTCATTTATAATAAAGGATTATGACATTCACGGAAATTGGCCCACTTGCAGGCCAAACTTCCATTCATGCCATAATCGCCTATATTATAAACTAATTGCATAATATACTATTACAGAACGTTATAATACTGTATGCTACTAAAATGTTAACAAATGGTAAAATTTTCATAATTACCTATTGAGAAGTCTGGTGATTTTGCAGGAGCTTGTTTCTCAGCATAAATTTGCCTACTTGTTTCTAATTCTATTTTAATGCATTGTAATTCTTCTTTCAAATTACATATTCTTTCTTCATATTCACAATTTACATGCTTCAATTTTTCAATTTCTTTGACGAATGCCACTTTTTCCTCGGATAATTGTTGGTTCGCAGCATGAAGCTGATTAATATCTCTCATCTACAAAACAAAAATTTGGATAAACTTTCTTGACAAAAATTATACTACTATAAAACTTTCTATATACATACATTAGCTTCTAGTTCTTCGTTTCTTTTAATTAAAGTTGTATTTTCCTCTTCCAAATGTGTATTGATAGGTTTTAACACTTCTAATTCTTTAATTCGAGATTTTAACCTGAAAAAAAATTAAATAAATACTGCAAATATCAGGTCTTTACACTCACAATAAAATAAAGCATTATTTCCTAATCAGAGACTTGAATGTATTCATATATTTATCTTAGATTAGGCTGCCATCATTGATAAAAATAAGGGGACACAGAACTACCATGAAGCTTATTGTAAACAAGTAGCAATTGATTTTCCTTAATGACAAATAAGCAAAATAAATATAGAACTTTTCCATTAAATTTTATTCAAAAAGAATAAAGTCTAAGCCATACTTTTATGATAATTTTATTTATTTGCACAAACCAAAATTCAAGTTTACCTCACTGGCCTATGTTCAGTTTACCAAACTCCATGATTTAGTAATGAAAAAGCAATATCACATTCAAAAATATTTCAATAAAATCTCATTTTTGAATACAAAAATCTTAAATAGTTCTTGTTTTAAATTAAAATGAGTAGAGTTTTCCAGAATTATTCAGAGGACTAAAAATTAACTATGTGAAATACAATGCATGTTTTTATATATTTCAATCTATTATACATGAAGATGGAATATTATAGAACTGATGGAATCAAATGTATTTCTCCAAGAAAATTTCATTAGAGAATTCATACAATAACTAGCAGGCCCCGTCATGCATTGTTGTGGATCAAAATGTATCTATTATAAATGTATAACACTTCTCCCGTAAAGGGGGGAATTTTTCGAAAAATCCCTTCTTAGTGTACAGTATATTCTGTTAACGTACCCTATTAAAACACAATCAAAAATGCAAAAAACCGTATCTAAACTAGTATAAATAAAAGCAGAGTTCTTCACGGTAATCCTGTCCATCTCCGTCCCAGTGGGGGGAATTTTGACATGTATATATAAAAACATGTGCGTATTCAAATGCAACATTGTGTCAAAATTTCAAAGGAATCGGTAGGAACAAACGAACATTATATTTTTATTTATATAGATAGATAGAAGATGATCTGGGTTTGTTTTTAGTTCATCCTCACAGAAAAGCAAACTTAGGTCGTTGTACTCACAGAGTTAGTGCCATCTGTTGGATATAAAAACCTTAATCCTAGATGATATCTTTTAATTTATATGAATGTTTAACAGAATAATATACAGCCTATGTCTACCCTGAAGTTCCATTCTAAATATTGGTGAAAGAATTTTTGAAATCAGATGGAGTAGTTTCGGAGATTACCTACTACGTCCAAACTTACAAACTTTACCTCTTTATAATATTTAGTATAGATCAGTGTTTCTCAACGGGGCAATATCGCCCCCATGTGGGCATTTTTCCATGTTGAGGGGGCGATTAGTAACAATTTATATTTGGGTTGGGCAAAAAACAATTTTCTAGATGATATAGTAAACCATTATATTAAGAATAATTAGATATTTTATTCATTATATTGTACAATAATTAAACAAATAACATTATACTAGTCACTAGTCTATTCAATGCAGTACGAATTTGGCATTAGTCTTGGCCCTCAGCATCGGAATTTTAAAGTGAAGGGGCGATACTACATAATGGTTTATTGAAAGGGGCGACGATTCATTAGAAGTTGAGAAACATTGGTATAGATGAACTAAGTGTATCTTTTTTATGAAAAATTATGCAAAATAAAATTTCAAGCACGAATAATCCAACATCAAGACAATAATATATACTGGATTATGAATTTTCCCAGTTCATAGATGTTGCATAGTAACTTTTTTATATTAAATAATAAATTAAAATTTTTCTTGAAATGTATCTAATTATTGTACTCGAATATATGAATTAATGATAAATATTACATTATGTTAATCTCTTCTTGTTTTTATTTTATAAGTATTCTAAAAAATACTCACAAAAACCTTACTTTAAGGACTTGTTACATCAAGAAGGAGCACCCAGATTTGTGCTACAATATCTAAAAAATGATTGCTGCCCTCTAGTTTTCATGTGCTCCTTCTCATTGATATAACAAGTCCTTAAATAAAGTAAGGGGTAGCTTGTCAGTATTAATTAATGATACTTTAACAAACTATGCTATGCAGTACTCTCAAATATGTCAACCATCATGGCTAATAACTATACAAATCTTTGAATTTTCAAACACCAAAATCTAATATTTGCAAGATACATTGGATGGAAAACTCATTTTTTGATTTAGTTTAACCATGTCCAAGATGATCAAAATTGGTGGGTAGCCAGCTGTATCCTCTCCTTGTTAATCATTGCTAACATCACATTTGAAGTGAGTGGGATATTAACTTAGTCTTTGTGAAATGAATTTTTCTATTTGAGGTGGGAAATTTATTAACTAAGTGTTGATTTACAATCCAACAGTTTGCAGAGTTTCATTACATTGCCACCTCCCATTTCACTAGACATTGAACCACACACACACACACACACACACACTTCTGATCTAAAGTTAAATGATGTTGGCATCATTTAACTTTAGATCAGAAGTGAAAGAATTTTTGTTCTTTAGTAAGTTAAACTCCAAAGTTAAATGATGTTGGCATCAAATTTTGAAGGTGAACATCACAATGTGTTGGCTAGCACTGGTTGGACTGATTATAAATCAAATAATATTCTTTGACTATATCAGCAATGGCTAACAACCTTGAAACTGCACACTGCCATTGGACTAGAAACCAATCTTATATATAGTGATTTAGACTTCTCAAAGTACTTTTAATTCTGGCAAATATCACCAGATTTCAAGTATTCCCATATATATATATATATATATATTATATAAAAATAACAAACTATGATCTATGTGAGAAACATTTAACTTTAACTAAATATACATTTATATATATATATAATATATGTTACATACATACAAATACAAGTACACCCCAACTATTTCAGATGTTCTATGTTTTATAGAGAGATTTTCTACTCACTTTGTAGAAGCTAAACTGTAAAGTATTTATTAAAACAAAGTAACAAAACAATACTTACTTGTCAATTTCAATTTTTTGTTGATCCACCAAAACTTTAAACTCTGAAGCCGAATTTGAAATCTCGTTGCATTCTCTGAGATCATATATAATTCTTTTCGAATCTTCATATTCTTTTGCTGATTTTAAAATAAAAAAACAAGTATTTTTTACATTAAGTTTAAGATTTACAAGGTTTATATAAGATTCTAATTTTAAAAAATAGCTTTGTGTAAATTGTCGAAAATGTAATTAATTATAAAATAATTCAGTGTCTATTATGGAAAATTTAAATGTACTTTGTACCTTTGTATTGATATTTTTGGAGGCCCAAATACTTGAACACTTATTTTAAATTCTGGTTATGCTATTAATATGTACAGTACCTATAAACTTTTACCTTTACTTTGTGAATGAGTAAATAATGTAGAAAATGATATAGGAGTAGACTGTATATTATTAATTGTTAAATCTTGATTTTTGAATTTAACACAAAAAACTAAATAATAAGAATAAAAACAGCATTTAAAACACTTCATAAAAGCATAATAAGGCATTCTATAGTTTAGATCCAATACCCAAATCGGGCACTACTGCCCAATCGATGGCAGAAGACAACTGAATGGGGTAGTGGAAGGTAAGTGTGATAAGGATGTTTAAAAGACAGGAGGCAAAAATTCATTTTAAAACAAAAAGAAATATATGCACTAAAAGCAGACAGTAGTATAAAAGATTTGGAAGCACTAACTTAGCTAATGTGCAGTTTAGAAAGTTATTTTCAGCAAAATTAATAAAAATTTCTTAAATCTTTTGCCAAACTCTAGAGTTGTGCAAGCACTTTGAACACTACCACTTTACATTTTGAAACTTTCATGTATTTTTTTATGTGAGACTCACTACATAATCTGTTTACTTATTTAAATCATAACGTAACTTCCTATCATTTTGTTGGATAACTGTCAACTTTCACACCTGGGAGCTAATCATTCAGTGAGTTCTCAACATCAAAAGTGATGCTTTCTCATAACCTTCCGACCTATTGTCTTAAGTTTATCGGTTGACAATAACAAGGAACTGAAAAATTGAGTCAGTTGTCGGCCATTCTTCCAAAAGTGCAGTTGTCACACAGTTTAACTACACACATCGCCTCCGGCTCTTCCACCTTCTTGTTTACCTTAGTGAACTTCCTGATCACCTACGGAATTAGTGAGTGCCATCCTTGGATTAACATTGTCGCCGAATACCTTATAGAACTCTCGTCTCCTCCCCACCAAACTTTCTGAAACTGGTCGAGGTTGCTCCAGCCTACAGAAATCCATGATTACATCAGGTATCTATCAATGCACATCTTTTTGTAAACTCACTCTCTCAAAACTTGTTAAGGTATGGATATAATTATATATACCCTTCATCTGATACGGCCGATTGCAGAGACAGCGTTTACGTTAAATGACGTTTATTAACAGAACGGTCTACAGATGTTGGCTGGCTGAACCGCGGTTTAAAATGCGTTGCAAAGACGACGATCGTCTATTTCTGACCGTTCTGNGATATCCAAAAGTGTATTTTGGATCACGTTAATTGTCCTTTCGTATAATAACCTTTTTGTATAATTAATTTATGCAATGCTCTTAGAAAAGGAAAAAGTATTTTGGAATCATGTCTGGTTATTTTCCATCTTTATAAACTATCATCACTTTTCTCCATCATTGTGATGTAGGTGAGCCCAGTGAGTGTATATGTATGAATGGATATATTTGTTTATATAAATGGGTGAATGTGAATGAGTTTGTACACATTGTAAATACACAACCCAACGCAAAAAACGTGCTTTTTTATCCACATTATAAGGCATTTTTGACCAATGGTGTATCATATGTAAATACAGTGGGTGATCAGTTAACGAACAGATTGCATAACGAACAAATCGGATAACGAACACATGATCGGATAACGAACATCCCACAGAACAAACACAAGAAGAAGCAACGTAAATTAATGAATACCGATTGGTCTTCCCTTGTCTTCGGGCAACAATTCGAAACTTTTCGGAGTGTGGGAGATGTCGACATCGACACTCAAGCCGATATATACCGATCGGATATTATTCCTCCGAACTTTGAAACTCTTCCTTGTAATTTCAGCCTTTTATTTTTCTGACAAAACAATTATTTTATGTATTCGTGAGACTGTTGGGTAGGCACTCGTTAAGTTTTGCGTCTGTTTTTCTTTTCGTAAGGTGAGAGTATAATAGCAAAGGTAGAGAGTGGGCAGAAGATGCCTAATGTTGCTGGGCAGTATGGCGTAAACAGGTCTACAGTAGGCTGAAGTTCAATCTTATTTAAGAAACATACTGTATAATCAAGAAGACTCAAGCAGCTAAAGGAGTAACAAAAATCACATCTGAGAAATAAAGAA